AGGGTTTCAAGTTTTCACTCTTTATTGGCTACTTTAAAGCATAAGAGCAGGGCAAGAAGGGAGGAAAGCAGGGCGACTCAAGTGGTCAGTTACTAGGTTACCCAAGGCCTTCTGCAAGAGGGATCTTCATGGATGGGGGAGGCCTCATTTCTTATCTGGTTGTTTAGTTAGCAGCTGGCACTACATTTATACAAGCTGGGTGTCTTTTGAAATGGTTGCCTGGGCAATCCAAAGCTTCACGTCAGGGCCTTGCATTTCAGTAATCCTCCCTGAGAGTGGGAACTGGAGTGAGTGGCCTGCTTCTAAAGCACAGGACACAGCAGAAGTGATGAGATACCGCTTCTGATATGCCGCTTTACAGAGACCATGGCTTCTGTCCTGCCTGCCTCTTGTGCTCCTCACTCTGAGGGACGTCACCTGCCATGTTGTGAGGCACCCTACACAGGGCTTACATGGCAGGGAAATGAGGGAGCTGTGGGGCCACACCCTTTGGAGGACCAGAGTCTCACCAACAACCTCAGGAGTGTGCATGGAAGTGGATCTGTCTCAGGTGTTCCTTCAAAGGAGACCCCCGTCCCCACCCATAGCTTGTTTGCATCCCTGTGAGACCCAGAATCAGAAGCCCCAGATAAGCCACATCCAATTCCAAGTCCATGGAAACTGTGACACAAAAAATGTTTGTTTTAAGCCACTAAATTTGGGGGCAACTTGGTATGTTAATCAATAGATAACTAATACAATGTGTTATCCATGGTGCGTGTGTGAGTGTGTGCACACACAGAAGGACCATATACCTGTATCTGTGTTTATATATCTCTGTAGCTGCTACATAGTACATACCATGGTTCATATCGATCAGTTCAATCTCAGCCCAGTGCTACAAGGATTCATTCTAACCTTTCCCACTTTCCACATTTGTAACTCCCTTCTTCAACAGTGAGAAACCCAGTTCCCATTAGCCACAGTATACTGATTTGATTTTTCAGTCCTAGAATACACAGAAAGGAGTTTCAGAGTTGCCATCTTGTGTCTCTATGAAAAAGTGGCCTGCTCGCGGGATTTCAATAGCTGCTTGGTGTTCTTGTTGTCTTAAGTCAAAAGTCTGAATACTCCATGTTATTATTTTTTTTAATGTTATGCTCTTTCAGCTTCTCTGGAAAGTGAGGCATGAAATGAAAAATGGAATGTATATTTTCTCTCCAGACAGAAAACGCTCTGCCTAGCTGCAATGCACCAGATTGTGAGAACCTTCTACATAAGAAGGGCTGGGCAGGGAGGGACCTGGGAGGCTGGCCAGTCTGAGCTTTCTCCTCTGGGCTGGGCTGATGCTGCTGTTGAACTCCCATTATCTATGTGGTCTTCAAGCAGTCATTAAATTATTTGGAGAGAAAAGTATACAGTACTACTTTCTGAAGGTCCCTGGGGAAGGTGTTTAATTATAAGCATTCCTGTGATTCAAAAAGAAGCCGAGTGACCAGCTGATGCTGAGATCTCCTCAGAAAGGCTTGGCTTAGGCAGGCCTTGCAGGTCCTCGCGAAAGGATGGAAACCGGAAGTAGACCATCTCTGCTTGGCTGGGCCTGGGGCCAGGACTCTCTGGGAGCAATCTGACCTCACAGGGGGGAGCCTCTGTGACCCTGGGTTGTCGCTGCCACCCTCCAAGGAGGTGGCATCTGAGGTGACAAGGGAGTCCCCAGATCACCGCTGCTTCCCAGGTGGGTGGGGACAGACAAGGGGCAACAGCAAGCCTTGTCCCACCAGACCCTTGGGGCCACAGGTCACACTGTGATGCTTTCCCTGGAGACTGTGGGAGGGTGGTTTAAGGACATGAGGCTCTGCCCTCCGTGGTTTCTCCAACATATGACTCAGGATTCTCCAGAGTTCTCATGCAAGGCTGCACCATTTCCCTGGGCTGCCAACCCAGCCCACTCACACAGATCCCAAAGATACGAACACACACACTCATCATAAACACACCACACACTGCATTGCATATATGCCACATGCATAACACACACCATACATGTCCCACACAACACATGCCACACATCACATACCCACTCCCATACACTCATACCCATGTGCACAGCACACACATCACCCCACACACATACATACCCACCCTACACTTTATGCTCATACACTACACATACACAAGCACACAGGTCAGATGTACACAAATACCACCACACACAGTGATCCAGCCCTCAGGAGATACAGCGCCAGACGCCGGCTCCCCAGCGAGGTGGGTGAGTCTCTTCCTGCCTCCCTCTGCTCCAGGGAGCTGTCCTGTGCTGTCACCCCCTTGAGCAGGTCAGTCATCACCTCTCATCTCACGTTCCCAGGTAGCCTTGGAAGTCCCCACAGCGCCCAGCATAGCATCTCAGCAAATGGATATAGGTGACATAGAGTCCAGGGACCGAAAAATGGCAGCGCTTCGTCACAGAGCAGCAGGACTGTGGGTGATTTTTTTTTCTTTAAAAGAAATGATTTCATTTCACTTTTTCATTTCAGACAAACTTTTAATATTTTTAAATAGTTACATAACTGAACAGATATGTAATTCAAAATTTTAAAGCGGATAACTTATGTCCATACAAACCCTGCACCCAGATGTTTATTGTATCCCTTTTCATTAACTGCCAAAACTTGGAAGCAACCTAACGCCAGAAGGTGAATGGATACCTGAACTGTGCTACACCCAGACAGTGGCAGTTATTCAGCACTACAAAGAAATGAGCTATCAAGCCGGGGTAGGCATGGAAGAAACTTGAATGCATATTATTAAGTGAAAGAAGCTAATCTGAATAGGATACATACTGTATGATTCCAACTATATGACATTCTGGAAAAGGCAAAACTATGAAAACAATAAAAGATCAGTGGCTGCCAGGGGTCAGGGGGAGGGAGGGATGAGTAGTTGGAGGCCAGAGGAGTTTTAGGGCCGTGAAACACTCTGTGGGTAAACCATGGACTTTGGGTGATGATGTATCAGTGTAGATTCAGCTGTGGTAAAAAATGTACCATTCTGCCAGTGCACTTAACAGAAATCATGTTGGCAGAGCCGCTTTGGGAGATTGTTTGGCAGTTTCTTATAAAACTAAACATACTATAACTTTATAATCTAGCAGTCATGCTCCTTGGTATTTACCCATAGTGGTTGAAAACATGTCCACACAAAACCTGCACACAGATTCTTATAACAGGCTTATTCATAATTACCAAAATTTGGAAACAACTAAGATATCCTTCAGCAGTGAATGGATAAATAAACTGTGGTACATCTAGACAATGAAATATGTGCAGCGCTAAAACAAAATTAGTTATCAGGCCATAAAAAATGGAGGAATCTTAAATGCACACTAAAAGGTGAAGAAAACCAGTCTGAAAGGCTAAATACTGTATAATTCCAACTATATTACCTTCTGGAAATGCACCGCTCCAGTGGGGGTTGTTGATAATGGTGGAGCCTGTGTGTGTGTAAGGGCAGGAGATATACAGGAAATTTCTGTACATCTCTCTCAATGTTGCTATGTACCTAATAATGAAGTTTTTTTAAAAAAAAAAAAACCATGCAAGTAAGAGAATGGATTGAAATATTTAAAGTGGTGAAAGAAGCAATAAAACATCAACCTAGAATCCAATATCCAGACAAATTATCCTTCAAAAGTGAAAGAAATTAAATACTTTCCCATACAACAAAAACAAAGGGTATTTGTCAGCCACAGACTTCCTTGCAAGAAATGTTAAAATATACTTATCAGACAGAAGAATAATGATATGTCAGAAACTTTAATCTTCATAAATAAAGATTTATTAGAGAAAAAAATGTACCATTCTGGTGGACAATGTTGTTAACATCTGTATGGAAAATCTCTGTACCATCCTTTCAGTTTTATTGTAAAGGTAAAACTGCTCTAAAAAAATTAAGTCTTTTAAAAAAATTTAAAAGGACACCCAGCCTATGGGTGGCTCCTTCCCATCCATGTCCCCCAGAGGTCCCCCCAGGGGGAACCAGTGTTAGCTGCTCTTCATGCACTCTTCCCAGTATGTTGGGTCTATTTTCAAGCAAGTATATTTGCATATTAGCATTTCTCTTCTGTAACAGAATGACAATACTGTAGACATTAACCCGTGTCTTGCTTTTTCATTTACTATAGCTCGGTGGTCTTTCCCTATCAATGTAGAGAGAATATCTTATTTTATTCTTTTTCTTTTTTTAAATAGTTGCCAAGAATTCCATCAATGACTGTTCCATAACATAGGGAACAATCCCCTACGGATAGACAGTAGATGACTTTGATATTACAAACAAAGATGTAATAAATAACTTTGGACATGCATCATTTTGTGTGTGTTCAGGCATATCTGTAGAATAAAATCAATCCTCCAAGTGGAATGACAAAAGGTATATGCATTATAATTTTGGTAAATTACTGCCAAATTGCCCTTGACAGAGATCATACGAATTTCCAATTCCAACAGCAGTGTTATGTTAGTACCTGCTTCCTCACACCCTTCCATATTTTTAGTTATAATAGTAACATTCTGCAAACCTGAGCACCAGTTAGAGAGTCCACCTGTGAAATCGCCACAGTGTGTAAGGGCCTGGAAGTCTACAGAAGACTGGGTTCTTGAGAGCAAAACAAAGACCTAATTAGAGACATGCCGACTTTTTCAGCTTCTCCAGTAACTCACATTCACACCACTGACTTACCCCAGCATGACATAATTCCTTCTTCACACATTTCAACTTGCAGGCAAAGCCTAGGTTTTCCAGCCCTATGCAAACCAGGAACCCATATTTCCAAGCCATTTCTCTTAAAAGGAACCAGAGCTAAGATCGTTACAGACTTGCATCCATCCTTATTGGAAGTGTCTATTTGGATGTTTTGGGCAGACCTCCTGTGAATGGCATATTAACTTTATAAAAGTAAAAGAAGGACCTCTGATGATGGCTTGGGAATATATTGGCCTAATTTCCACTTCTTTCTCTTTCAGGGACAGAAATCTTGGATAGAAAAAACCTTTTGCAAAAGAGAATGTATCTTTGTAATTCCCAGCACAAAAGACCCCAACAGGTAAATTGGAAGCCCTAATTAAGACTTACCAAATCAGTGTTTGTCCACCAGTTGCCAGCAGCTGTTCTTCAAATGTTTATGGGTGGCGGAAAAGGAGTCAGGAAGGATTACCAGACTCTATTCCCCACATGAGTCATTAACCAGGAAGCACTTGGGCTAATAAGCCCTTCTGTTAAGATGCAGATAGCCTCAGGAAAGAATTGATGTCCAACACTCATAATGTTATTCAGATGAGAAGGAACTTACATCACAGGAAAGATCTGAGTGATTAACTAAACTAGCCATAATTTTATGAAATAGTTTACTTTGCACACAAAATGTCAAACAATTTCATTCTCATCCATGAAAATGCATGTGTTATAAACTAAGCAGAGGACCTTCTAAAGCCATGGAAGTGGCCAGAGATGAATTTAGCTAAAACTTTTCATCTCTGAAAGCAAGCTTTGAGGCTGAGTTTGGAGGGCTGAGGGGAATGATTTATCTATACGTGCCCACTGTGAAATCCAGGCAGGTAGGATCACTGAAACAGAGTGCACAGACTCTTAGAGATCACATGGTTCAAATTTACCTGACACGTGCAACTTCAGTGCCCCCCATGCTCCCAAGCTCACCTCCTCCACCACAACCCCACAGATTCCATTCCCTGCCTAAATCCTAATGATTAACCTCCAAGGTAAGAGATACCGTTATGGGACAATACCAGTGATCATGAAAGTCTTTCTTTTGTTGCAGCTAAATGCCCCTCCTTGTCTCAGTGGCACCCAGACCTCCTTGAGGAAACTATGTGGTTAATGACTCATGTGGAGAATGCCAGCCCTCCCTAACACCTGCCAGCACTGCAGTACCCCACACAACCAAGTGGCTAAGCAGCAGAGGAAGCAGAAAGGACCTTAGGGGATCACACACAAGACCCCTCTGTGAGCAGCATGCATTTCTAGAATGGGTTAAAAAAAAAAAACGAAATGAAAAAACAACCATTTAAAGCCACTGGAAATGTTTCTAAGAACCAACAGCAAATAAATAAATGTCTATTCAAGAAAACCTACAAAAATTCAGCAAGAAAGGCTAGAGACCCTAGTATTTGAACCAAAAGAGCTTCCACCCTTCCCCCTGCCAGCTCAGTAAATTAGACTCCACTCCAGATTGCTGCAGCCAAGAATGCAGGGTTCCCTATATCCCAGTAATAGGAGGAGGACTTCAGCATTTCTCATCCTGTTCCCATATATCTATTGCTGAAGCTAAGCCCCAGATGGGGCATTTGGGAGGTGGGGGCTCCCTTCTTCTACCCAGGCCACACAACCCTTGCAAGCAGTAACACAGAAAATGGGAGTGGCCATACTGATTTCAGGCAAAATTGATTTTAAAATAAGACAATGTTACTAGAGCTAAAAAGGGACATCTTTATAATGATAATTAGGTCAATCCATCGGGAAGATAAAACAATTCTAAATACATACACACCTAATAACAGAGCAGAAAAATGCATGAAGCAAAAACTGACAGAGATAATGGGAGAAATAAACAATTCGATAATAATAGTTGGTAACTTCAGTTCTTTCAGTAATAGGTAGAATCACTAGACAGCAGGTCTAAAAGGGAACAGAAGACTTGAACAACACCGTAAATCAACTAGACCTAACAGACATCTGTAGAACACTCCATCCAACGACAGAATATACATTCTTTTCAAGGGTATGGGGCACATACTCCAGGACAAACACATGTTAGGCCATAAAACAAGTCTCAACAAAGTTAAAAGGAGAGAAATAATACAAATAATATTCTCCAACCACAGTGGAATGAAATTAGAAATAAGAAATCAATAGCAGGAAAAAAATAGAAAATTCACAAATATGTGGAAATTAAACAACACACTCCTAAATAAACAATGAGTCAAAGAAGATATCAAAAAATAAATCATAAAATACTTCAAGATAGTTGAAAATGAAGGCACAGCATACCAAAATTTACAGGTTGCAGCTAAAGCACAGGTGAGAGGGAAATTTATAGTTGCAAATGCCTATTTAAGAAAGAAGAAAAATCTTAAAGAAATAACCTAAACTTCTACCATAACATGTTGGAAAAAGAAGAGCAAACTAAACCTAAAGGAAGCAGATGGAAGGAAATAATAGAGAATCAAATTTAAGTTAATTAAAGTAGGAAATTTTAAAACAATAAAGAAAAACCAATGAAATAAAAGCTAGTTCTTAGAAAAGATCAACAAAATTGACAGACCATTAGTTAGATTGGTGAAGAAAGAGAGAAGACTCAAAGTACTAGACTCAGAAATGAAAGGACATTACTACCAATCTTATAGAAATAAAAAAGAGTATAAAGGAATACTGTGATTTGTACACCAATGACAATAAAAAAAAATGACAATGAAAATAACTTGGGTGAAATGGACAAATTCCAAGAAAGACTACTGAACAGATTCAAGAAAAAATACTCAGGCTAAATAGACATATGAGAAGTAGAAAGATAAGATTCAAAAGTTACTCACAAAGAAAATCATGGGTCCAGGTTGCTTCACAGCTGAATTTTACCAAATATCTAAGGAATTAATACCAATTCTTCACAAAATCTTTCAAAAAATAGAAAATCATAGAACACTTCCCAATTCATTTGATAAGGCTAATACTATCCTGATATTAAAACCAAAGACATGACAAGAAAGGAAAACTGCAGATCAATATCTCTGTTGAATAAGGATGCAGGAATCCTAAACAAATACTACCAAGTCAAATCCAGCACCATGTAAAAATAATTATACACCATAATCAACTGGGATTTATCCCAGGAATGTGATGTTGTTTTCACATTAGAAAATCAACTAATATAATACATCATATCAATATAGTAAAAAATAAAAATCACATAATCATCTCATTTGACACTAAAAACATTTGACAAAATCCTATGCTCCTTTATGATTAAAAAAAAATAAACACCCAGAAAACTAAGAATAGAAGAGAACCTCCTCAACCTGATAGAGGGCATCTATAAAAAATCCACAACTAACGTCATACTTAGTGGTGAAAGATCGGATGCTTTGCCCCTAACACCAGAGACAAGACAAGGATGTCCACTCTCACCACTTTCTTAAAAACTGTACTAGAAGTTCTAGCCAAGGCAGTTAGGTAAGAGAAATAAAAGACATCCATATTGGAAAGGAAGAATGAAATTGTCTTTATTGGCAGATGACATAATATTGTATACAGAAAATCCTAAGAAATCCCTAAAAAACTGTTATAACTAGTAAGTTCAGCAAGGTTACTGCATACAAAATCAGAATGGGAAAATCATATGTATTTCTATGTACATGCAATGAACAATATGAAAATGAAACTCGCAAGACAATTCCCCATATGCAAGAGCATCAAAAAGACTACAATATTTAAAAATAAACAAAATAACTGAAAAATGTACTTTGAAAAGTACAAATCGTCATTGAGGGAAATTAATAAAAATCTAAATAATTGGGAAAGAATCCCGTGTTCATGGATTAGAAAACTTAACATTGTTAAGACAGCAACATTCCCCAAATGATCTACATATAGTGCAATTCCTATAAGAATCCTAGCTGCCTTATTTGTAGAAATTGACAAGCTGATTGATATAGAATTGCAAGGGACCCAGAATAGCCAAAATAATCTCATTTCTTTTTTAAAAAAAGAACAAAGTAAGAGGACTCACACTACCTTATTTCAAAACTTACTACAAGGCGACAGTTATCAACGTGGTGTGGTACTGGCAAATGGACAGACATACAGACCAATGGAATAGAACTGAGAGTTCAAAAATAAATCCATACACTGCCAATTCGTTGTTCAGCAAGGTTGCAGAACCAATGGGGAAAGAACCAAATGGTGATTTGATTTAGACCCCCACCTCACACCATATATAAAAAGTAATTCAAAATGTATCCAAGACATAAATGCAAGAGCTAAAACTATAAAACTTTTAGAAAAACACATAGGGATAAATCTTCATGACATTGGAATTGGCAAAAGATTCTTAGATATGACCCCATAAGCATGAGCAGCAGCAGAAATATATTTTCAATATTATTTGCTTGTGCAGAGAATTGTTTTATTAAACAATAGAAGAGTTCAACAATACTGAAAAATCCCCGAAGGTCACCTCCATATCTCAAGGGAATGACTGTACTTTGACACAGCATGTTCAGTAATTGATGCCCATATTGATGTTGCCAAGACATGAAAAAGTTAAAATAAATTCAGTAAGGAAGGGCAACCATCCAATGTGTTTAGAGAAGACTGGTATGTAAATAGATATGATTATCTATTATTATTATTATCTAGTTACCTATTATGATTATTTCCAGAAAGATTATTGATTACCTGGAAAAGGCCATCATAATGGGCATTTCTGTCCCCAATAAAGCTGGATAAGTAAGGTGTTAGTCTGGCCCTGCTCAGGCGCTATGCTCCCATTCAGGCTACCTCATCTTGGGGAACATGTTATAGAAGATGCTCCTTTGCCTTCGTTTCCAGGTGTTGCTGTGGGCAGTTCACCAACCAGCATCTTCCTCCTCTGCCAAGTGGAACAGCTAGCAAAGATGAAGAGGAAAACAAACAGGTGGAGACTCAGCCTGAAAAATGGTCCGTCAGCAAACACACCCAGAGCTACCCAACAGATTCCTATGGGATTCTTGAATTCCAGGGTGGTGGATACTCCAATAAAGCCATGGTAAGAGAGGTCATAGGAAGGGATGCCACTGAGCCTGCAGGCTTCATCAGGGGCCCAGCCTCCCAGACCTCCAGACTGCAGACACCTGGGTCTTCTTTCACAGGTGTGGCTCAATCTTCCTAGATACTCCACTGCAAAGAAATAGATCTGCACACTCAGCTTTTTAGCCGTGACATTTGGAAACTAGGTGGTATTATACAGAACACATAGAGACCCTTAAATCCATCCACAAATCATGCTTCCAACTGTGCAGCCATACTCATCGCTCCATTTCCAGTAGTGAGGAAGAAATTATGTTATTTGTTTTAGGGGTTTTGTTTTGTTGTTTATGACTGTGGACCTTCAGACCCTTTTAAATGGGATAGGAGTGTCTGGAAATACTTCCCTCTGAAGTCCATCCACAGCCTTCCTGCATTCAGCTGGCCCAAGAAGACCACAGTCTTTCACCTTTGCATGTCAACAGGGAGCGTCCTCTGCCTTTCTGATGTGCTCTGGCAGAGAGGGGCGGCGCCAGCACTGTGAGCCCTTTCAGCTAATTCTGAACAATACTCCCACGTGCCCAGTCAGATCATTTTGCAATTTCATCTTATTTCACTGGCCCAACATCACTGCTCAAATAAAATTCAGTTATGTTCCAAATACAACAACATAGGGTCTGTGGAATGGCACCATTATATTGGCATGGATGCAAAGAAGGAATTCATTGGAACCAAGGCATCTGACCATTAACCCCTTCTTCACCTTGAGGGGAAGGTCAAGTCCAGAGGTTGGCCAATGATCCCCATTCCCAACACCCACTCACTGTGGCCAGTGAGCCACTCCATCATCAACATCCTGTCCAACCTCTGGGGCCATGGTTTCAGCTGAGCCAGCTTTGGAACTGATTCCTTCAAGATTAGGGTTGCCAGGTAAAATAGAAGACATCCAGTTTTATTTGAATTTCAAATAAACCATGGATAATTTTTCAGTGTAATTATGTCCCAATATAGCATGAGGTACACTTACACTGACATATTTTTTTTGGTGTTCACATAAAATTCAAATTTAACTGGGTGACCGTGTTTTTATTTGCTAAATCTGGCAGTCATTCCAAATTTCCCTTCTGTCACTTGGCCACAGACTCACACAGAGGGCCTGAGAATCCCAAGGGAGAGAAAGCCAGACAGCCCTTGCTTGGACATGAGCCATACCCCTGTTCTGCTGTGATACAAGAGGCAACAGCAAGAATGCACGCTGAGTGTCACACACTCTTTTGCAGTATATCCGCGTATCCTATGACACCAAGCCAGATTTGCTGCTTCATCTCATGGTGAAAGACTGGCAGCTGGAACTCCCCAAGCTCTTAATATCCGTGCATGGAGGCCTCCAGAACTTTGAGATGCAGCCCAAGCTGAAACAGGTCTTTGGGAAAGGACTGATCAAGGCCGCCATGACCACCGGGGCCTGGATCTTCACTGGGGGCGTCAGCACGGGTAAGAGCAGGCCCTTACCTGTGCTGTGGGCATACAGACCCAGAACTCACTGCGGGTCCCAAAGAGCTTTTGAATGATTAAGATAAAAAACATATTGCATCTTGATAATATTTATGACAGAAGTGAAATCTTTATTCAGTAGCTTGTATTTTATTTTGGTATGATTAATGGTCCACATTTTCTGGCTCTCACTCCAGGCCATTCCTTGAACTGAACCCTCATTTTCATTGAAGTTCTTGACAGTTCTTTACCCATCATCTGGGAGAAGAACCTAAGGCACAGAGAGGCTGAGGGACCTGGGGGGCAGTCCGGCTCTCAGCGTCAGCTGAATGCAGTCACGGATTGCCAGAGAGTCCCCAGCTACTTCCATCCTTAAGTCTTAGAAACTTGTGAAGGAAACCCCTGCACGTTGCTTTGGTTTGGGTTTTGGTTTTCCCTTTTCTGGAAGCTAAGGCAGGATGTTTAGTTATTATAGACTCAGACTTTCAGTGTACTGTCTTTTAATGATGAAGATTATGTGTCAAGCCTGTTCAGGAGGGAATGGAGTGGTTGAGAGAAGGAACTCCTAAAGTTCATAAATGTGGTGTGATGGGAGGTAAAGAGCCTGAAAATATGACATCTGGCTGCTCACAGGTGTCATCAGCCACGTAGGGGATGCCTTAAAAGACCACTCCTCCAAGTCCAGAGGCCGGGTTTGTGCTATAGGAATTGCTCCATGGGGCATTGTGGAGAATAAAGAAGACCTGGTCGGAAAAGATGTAAGTGTTTTCTCCCCAGACAGTGGCAATTTTTAAAAATCACAGTCTTTACTTTGAGATAATTGTAGATTCACCTGCAGTTGTAAAAAATAATAAAGAGAGATGCCATATACCTTTCCCCTTTCCCCAGTGGTAGCATCCTGCAAAACTATGGTACAATATCACAACCAGGATGTTGACATCGATACAGTCAAGGTGCAGAACATTTCCATCACCACTACGAAGTTGTCTAAGAAACCGTACCTAGTTCCCTACTGCCGCCACTACCTCCTCAACCCCTGGCAACCACTAATCTGCCCCCCTCATCTCTATAATCTTATCATTTCAAGAATATTATATAAATGGGATCATATATACTCTGTAACCTTTGAGGACTGGCTGTTTTCATTCCACATAATCCTCTTGAGATCCTTCAGGTTGTCGTGAGTACCAACCATGCATTCTTTTTTATTGCTGAGTGATATTCCATGGTATGGATGTGACACATTTGCTTAACCACTTATCTGTTGAAGTGCATCTGAGTTGTTTCTAGTTAGGTTATTTCAAACGAAGCTGCCGTAAGCATCTGTGTACAGGCTTTTGTGTTAACACGAGTTATTTCTCTGCAAGACTTGCTAGGAATGCACCTGCTGGGCCATCACTAATTAAAGTGCTGGTGTCCTTCATACGCAGCTGGTGGGATTGCAAACTGGTGCAGCCACTATGGAAAGCAGTATGAAAACTTCTCAAAAAATGAATAATAAAAATACTGTATGGCCCAGCAGTTCCACTTCTGGGAATTTACCCATAGAAACAAAATCACTAATCAAAATAGCTATATGCACTCCTATGTTTATTGCAGCATTATTTACAACAGCCAAAATATGGAAACAACCTAAATGCCCATCAATAGGTGAATGGATAAAATAGATGTGATTTCATATATACAATGGCATGTTACTTACCATGAAAAAGTATGAAATCTTGCCATTTGCAACAGCATGGATGGACTTAGAAGGTATTATGCTCAGTGAAATGAGTCAGACAAAGACAAACACCATGTGATTTCACTCGTATGTGGAATCTAAAAAACAAAACAAACAAAATTGAAATGGACTCATAAACACAGAGAACAGACTGGTGGTTACCACAGGGGAGGGGGGCATGGGAATGGATGAAATAGGTGAAGGGAAAAAAAATTAGTGAGAATGTTTGATATCTTGATCTGGGCAATGCTTACAAGAGTGTGTACTCATGTCAAAACCCATCAAGCGGTACAGTAAGATTTGTGCATTCTACTGTATGCACCTCAATATATTTAAAATTTTTTAATGAATAAATAAAATGCTGACTTGTCATTATCTAAAACAATTTGCTTTTTTCTAATTTAAGACAGAAACTCGCCCCCACCAACAATATATCCTTCAGTAGAGAGGATAGGGAAGTGAGAGTCGATCTAAGAGCACAATTAGATGAAGTGGTTGCCACGTATAAATGCATTCTTCTCACTTCCTCTGTTAGTGTGAATATCTAAGCGCTGCAGCTCTGATTTGTGCTGTGCATTTTGTCAGGTAACGAGAGTGTACCAGACCATGTCCAACCCTCTAAGTAAGCTCGCCGTGCTTAACAGCTCCCACACCCACTTCATCCTGGCCGACAACGGCACCCTGGGCAGATACGGCGCTGAGGTGAAGCTCCGGAGGCAGCTGGAAAAGCACATCTCTCTGCAGAAAATCAACACCAGTAAGTTCTGGCGAAGGCCACGGGCACTGGGCTGCTGCCGTCACCGTGCAAACCAGGCTGAGAAGGAAGCCGCCCAAGGGCCTTTAGAGCTTCGGCGGTGATTCTCGTTGGGTCAGCGGAGGGTTCCAAGCCTAGACCCCGTAGCTGAGCCACCTCCGTAGCGCACCCGTGAGCTGTGCCCGGATGCTTCGCCCGGGTTCCCGAGGAGGAGGAGGGGTGCTGGAGGAACAGCCCTGCCGCGGTTGCCATGGAGATGGCATTGCCCAACCTGTTACCCAGCGCGTCCAGTTCCCTGTAATTACTGCAGTCATTTCTTTCAAGTTTGAACAGGAAAAATGTTTCTTGTTCAAAGATGCAGTATGATTTGATCAACTGCTAAGTTTTATAAGATATTAAATCAAGTAGCTTTGGGACCTCACTCAGACTAAGGGCCAGGTGGGGAACCTCTGCAGAGGGTCGCAGGCGCCATCTGCTCCCAACAGCCTGCCTGGGAGCACATCTCTGCAGAAGACCAACACCAGGAAGTTCTGGCACAGCCCCTCCGCCATGGAGACACTGTGGGGGTCAAGCTGTAGAAAGGAAAGAACCACAGCCTGACAAAACGATAGTAACGACAACTGGTTAGAATGAAAATGGCTGGTGTGATCTGTTGGAACACAATCATACTCCAGCAATTCTTACTGTCGAACTGCTTTTAAAAGATCTTAGAGTGTTTTGGTTTTACCATTACCAGCTAGGTTTTTGTGAAAGCCAGTCTAGGCCTGGAAATGGTGACTAGGAGGCATAATTTAGGGCCTCTGAGACGGCACAAGTGGCTGGAATGGAGATGGTCCTCAATGACAGGCAGATTTCCAAGGATTGGATCTTGTTAATTAACTGGTTGATGACTACATATTTTATTCTTGCATTTTTAAATTTTCCTGGACTTGTAAGTGTTCACACTGCCCAACTTTACCTGGCCATGTGACTTGTGGACTTCCCTTTGTCATCCTTTGCCTAGGGCTCTGAGTAGGGCAAGGACAGCAAAGGGGTGCTCAGTCGTCACCTCTCACATCACAGAGCTTGGGGAGTCAACCCTAAACCAAGAAAAACCAATTTTAGAAAAGAAAGTGATTTGGTCATCATATTCCTGAAAAATCTAGAGTGCCAAGCCTTGCTGGAGTTAGCAATCTCAGAGGCAGGGTCCATAATATCTTGATCCATTTTTCCAGTATTTCTGGGCCAGAGCCTGGCACAAAACAGACCCTCAATGCATATTTGCTGAAATGAACTTAACTGAGATTAGTCCGATAGGAGAAGACAAAGTTGTTAAAATTTTGAAGAATTCCTGACTGTAAGGAAGCATCATGGAAGCAAAAAGAAGCTCTGAGTTCAGCTCCTGGAAATTCTTAGATCTCCTCCTAACGTATGCTAGCAGATTTTATATTTAAAGCCTTCAGAGTTATGAGGCCAAGGGTGTTTCTCCTATTTGCTGTTTGTTAATGTTTATCAACTAACTCCCATCCCATCTAACAGACACCTGGTGAAACATGCTCAGTATTTAAACCGCCGTGACCATTTTGGGGTAGAATCGTGGAGCAGGGAATCGGTCTCTGGCTCTCCCCTTCCTGCTGTGCTCCCTCTCCGGAATCCCAGGCTCTTGGAATCTGGCTGCCTCCTGCTTCTCAGAGTCCACCCTGCTAGTGCTGCCGCCAACGTTAGCCCCTTCCTACCGTGTTCCTGGACAGTCCTGCTATCCGATAGAGACAGAGGGTGGGAGCAATTATTAACTGACAGGCAAATGGTGGTCTGTAGGTTGGCCTCCCCAGGTAACTCGCCACCTGTTGCAGGTACTACAAGCAGAAAGAGCTACTACAACATACCACACTTACATGCCACTTAAGGTTTGCAGAATACTTTGATGGCTGGACAATTTCTTCCATTTTGTATCTATTGCTCCTTTAGGAGCTGAGCGAGGCATAGTGATGATTCACCTTTTACAGAGAGTCATCTATAGTCATGGCAGCTTGGTGAGTGGCCCAAGGCCCTCAGGCTAACATGTGCGAGGCTGGGAACTAAACTGACCTCCCCTATCCCTGGCCTACATCCTCTTTCTCTGTGTCATTCTTTAAGGGACAGCCACTGGGGGGGATTTCACCTGGGGCAGGGCAACAAAGGAGGCTTATTTTCATCTTCCGATATTTGTCACAGGTCACCTGGAAGAGCCTGTCTGCCAGGTGAGTTATATGTGAAGATTACCTGCAGATGATTCAGAAAGTTCATGATTAAGATACTGGTTTTTCCAGTGAGGCCATAACATGGGGTTTGAATAAAAGAATGAAAACAGTCATCACGTGCCAGAATCCTTCAAGTCTCTTGAACACTAACACCACAGGGAGCACCCTGGAAGTGGTAGAGGTTTGACCCTTCCCTGTGTTCCAGGAATTGACACAAGCAGGCAGGCAGTGTCATGACATTGGTCTGTGCAGTGAATGTGGGTTTTGTTGCAGGAATGGGGCAAGGTGTGCCCGTTGTGGGCCTCGTGGTGGAAGGAGGCCCTAACGTGGTTTCCATCGCCCTGGAATACCTCCGAGAGGACCCTCCAGTCCCCGTGGTGGTTTGTGACGGCAGCGGCCGGGCCTCGGACATCCTGTCTTTTGCACACAAGCACTGTGATGAAGGAGGGTAGGATTTCTGATATGTCGCGAAGGATGGGTTTTTAAGTGCCCTCTTGTTAGGCCAAGAAGACAACCTTAAGTGATACATTTAGCCATTCCAAAAATGTTAAAAATGAAGATTTACTAGATCTCCTCTCCCATTTCCCGAGGCCAGCATGTGAGGGAGCTGTCAGAGCATGCTCTCTTTCTTACGGAATTCTTTCTCTGGGAGAATACACTCTCTCCCGGCTTCATTTTCCCTTACAAGGTTTCCAACGAGCCTGGAATTTAGGCCAAGTGTCAATGCAGTTTTTGACTATGGTCCCTTTTTGTCTCCTAGCAGGGGGTACCCTCCAGTGGTAAAGTTTCGAATCAAAGATAGCAGTCAGACATAGAGATGTCTGATTCATTCATGTACAGATTTAACTGGTGTTTCTTCTTTGTGTTTCCTTGGAACAGGATAATAAATGAATCCCTCAGGGATCAGCTTCTAGTTACCATTCAGAAAACATTTAATTACAACAAGACACAATCACATCAGCTGTTTGCCATTATAATGGAGTGCATGAAAAAGAGAGAACTCGTAAGTGTCTCGCGCTTATTTCCAAACCAGCTCCACAGAGAGAATTATGTTTCCTTTCTAATTCTGTCCATGTGTTCACGATGGAGTTGTTCATATTTTAGGTCAGCCTTTTCCAAGAGGCAGTTTGCAAGTCTGTACCAAATTGGCCGTTACATCCTCGTGATGGAAGCAGAATACGCACGTGCTGAGGAGGGAAGAGGGAGCCAGGTGCTTTCAGACCTTAGTGATACCATTGCCACATGGTACCAATTCTGATGCTCATGATAATTAATCAGATTGAAAGACTTGTAGAGAGACATACGCTTACAAAATTCTATCGCTTCACTTTCAAAATACAGTAATTATTTCCCACTCTTTCCCTCTCAAATTGTGCTTCTAAGATATAGGCACTCTTGTTGCATGTGTAAGACAGTGCTTCAAGATTGTAAATCTACAAATTTCCTACAAGTATATCAAATCTGAGTAGAAGTGATTTTGTCTTCCCTGGTAGCAATTTAAATATTGGAGTGTAGATCCTGAATGGCTCCCTCCTCGCCAGGGCTTTGGCACAGAGTGGGTAAATAATAAAACACGGGCCCTGGCAAGGCTGCAAAGTCAGGACAAGCAATCCTGTCACCTCTGGAAATCAAATGCGCCTGGTTACAGTTGTGTAGCTCTCAGAGTCCTTGCACTATGCATGTCTCTATAGTCCTTTTTAAAAACAATGCCCCAATTCTCCCTTGTATTTTCAACTTTGTTTTACCCAATCTTTTCATGATTAACCTGTTTTCAGGTCACCGTGTTCAGAATGGGTGCTGAGGGTCAGCAAGACATAGAGATGGCAATTTTAACTGCCCTGCTGAAAGGTGAGCTCTCAGGAAAGGGCTACTCCTGCCCTTTGAGTGCTGGCACAGCTCATGGCTGGGAAAACCCTCTCCCTCTTCTGCCAGGAACTGTGGCTATTGCTGACAGAATCGCGAGCCAGCCAGGCTACCTTATCCCTGCATGAAGCTACCACAGCGTGGCAAAGCTCAAAAGGGGTTTCTTGAGAGGGGGTGTTTTCTGTAGGTGCCAACGCCCATAATGGGCTGAAGTCAGAACCAGTTTCTATTTGTAACTAGTTCATTAAGGGTTTCAACTCAGAGAGGACAAAATGAGAAATGGCTTTTCATTTGCAACCACTGTATCCTGCAGTGCTTTGGCCATTTTCCCCATCCTGCTCCTTATGGCCGGCAGCAACCTGGCCTTTCAGGGGGGTCACTCGAAGTCATGCACTTCCTCCCTGACTCTCGACTACACTGGGATAATGAGGGGACAGAGACAAGAGAAGAGAGGTGTCAGCCCCAGGCCAGCTGCTGAGCAGTGCTGTGCTGGTCTCCCTGTGGCTGGGGGCTGGCGCCCTTGGGCTCTGCTCACCTTCAGTCTGCAGGGGCAACACCCCTGGGCGGGGCCTGGTACATGTCTGGGCAGTCCCCGGGCTCCTGCCTCTTGCAGATGAGGGCTCCAGAGTCCCTGGATTCTTCTGTGCTCCTCCCAGGGCGACCATGCCAAGCTGACAGGGAAAGAAGCTGCCTCCACCCCGTTCCCAGGCTGATCTTTGAGAACATGGAGCCCTGAGCTTCGGGGCCTGAGCAGTCACCCAGAGGCAGGGGAAAAGGCAGTGGTGCTCAGCTCCAGGGCAGCGCTGAATCCGCCTGGGGCAGCCCATGCTCGCCACACAGAACCTGCCAAACCCGGGCTGCCCAGCCACAGAGTGAGAAACGCCTCGTTTCTTGCCTTTCCAGGAACAAACGCATCAGCTCCGGACCAGCTGAGCTTGGCGCTGGCTTGGAACCGCGTTGACATAGCACGAAGCCAGATCTTTGTCTTTGGGCCCCACTGGCCGGTGAAACTAAATGTTTTTCAGTTCATACCGTTTATCATGACTTTGTGCAGATGATATATTAGTATGTTCTCCCGTGTGACACAGATCTCAGGAAATTATCTGGGGTTTCTGATGAGCCACAGTGTAATCCATTTGGATTATTAGGAGATGTTGCTATTTAACTTCTAAGACCCAGTCAGAAGAGCTACTAGCAGTAATCACAGATTCAAACCAGATTCTTAAAGAAATAATCACTAAAAATTTACTGGTAATAATGGGCTTTTTTTCTTTTAAAGAAGAAAAGAGCTCATTAAAATTAAATATAATGATTGCATTGGAAGCACTGACTTCTCAAACTATGTTCCACGAAACCCTGGAGGCCTAGAGAACTGTGTGTGTGTGTGTGTATCAGTGTATTGTGTGCATGTGTCTGTGAGTAGCACACATGTAGCCTGCATAATATGCATGTGGATATATGGTCTGTAATATATGCATGTGGTTTAGTGTGTGTGTGACATGCGTCTGTGGTATCTGTGAGTGTGATATATGTAATGTGTGAGAAGATGTTCGTATGTGTGTGATAAGGTTGTGTGTGGTGTGATTGTGTGTGGTGTGTTGTGAGGGTGTCTATAATGAGTATGTGTGACAGGCAACTCTACACCTGCTCCCTCAATCAAAGCAACTTCTTTGATCTGCTTTGTGGATTGGGATTCAGGGTAAATTTTTGTTTGCAAAAAGGGCTTTCATGCTTTAAAAGGGTTTGGAATACCTAGAGGGTTCATATTGGATTTTAAAGACCATATTTCTCAAAATATACTTGGCATATCACTGCACAAGTGCATTTCATTTTTTACAATTACTCTTTATCAAATTAGTGTGAAGAGTTTGTGGAATAAGATGAGTCCATTAAAGGAAAAGGATATGGGGGCAGTGCATTTGTGTCTGTTACTTATTGAATTACGCAAATTAAGAAGAATAGTATGGTACCTTAAGTAGTGTCATTTCCTTTTTAATCTCCCGTGGTTTTCTCTAATTTTCCTACTCTTGGTAAGGGAATTCAGAGCAAAATAAAATGACCCAGGAAGACTATGAGGCACAGTGCCATAGCAGAGAACCTGAAAGATTCCAAGAAGGGCTGCAAAGATGAACTCTGCCATGAGCTCTTGAGACCTTCTACTCAGGAAGTAAGGTGCAAGTCTTGTTTGTCTGTTTTTTTCTTTGCCAACGAGCAACTTGCCGAAGACACATTTGTGACTCAGCCATACAGAGAGAGCTATGCTTCTGAGATTATAGAAAAAGCCTAACCCAGGGGACCTGCCCCAACATGCAGGCCCTGCCTGGTGCATAATGATGGCTCTGGACCTCCCTGGGCAGGTCCTCCTTTAGCCTAGGAATGCAGTTGCTCTGTATCCACCGACTGGGGTTGTAGCATAATGTGCAAGAAGGCATAAGTGGTCTCCTGCCCTGTAGTCAGTCTTTCTGCTAATCACCATGCTTTCTACCCACCATTAACTCATTCTTTGAGAATCTGGTCCCACCTCTACATTACTCATTGTGGATGTCAGCTTCTTCTCCACGGTTTTAACTGCCCAGCAATATTTCCAGAAATCTGTTAATAGCTCTGGTCTACCTCTCCTCCCTGAAATGGAGTTTTCTTTGTCATAGTCCTCTGCTGTCATTTCCATGGAGAAGGAGGGAAAGCAGGAAACATATGATCAAGACTGCAACCTGGAACCAAAAGTCCTTCACCGTAGCCCCACAAGGGGATATCTGGTCTCCAAAGTCTTCCTTTAATAGTTTAAGTGCTCAATTTACTATATGTCTGTGCATTTATAGTCTCTCTATAATTCTTACTGGTCTAATAGTGAGTTGGCGGTAGGGAGGACTTGAGAATTGCTATACAACAAGCCAATCCTAAGTCTGTTATATCTCACTAGTCAAAATTTGTGTATCTATATTTTTTTATTATTAAATGAAAAAATAAAAAATAACAACAAAGAGATAGTAGTGCTTGATACACACATGTAACAAGGTAATTTCTTTATATTGAATCACAAAAACTAGGGCTAATAATTTTTGAAGGGAAATAGATGAAACTTAATCTGAGCATCTGGGAGCAAGTCCTGGGGACACTGAGACTGCTGCCTATTTTAAATACAAAAGTCTCCAAACCTTAGCCAGCTCACTAATATTTTAGAAGCAGAATGAAATGCCTGTTTACTTATCAGGATGAGAACTATTTATTTGGCTTCTGTCTGGAAGAGGGCCTGTCCTTGTCAAAATCATGAACTAGAACCAAAAATCTAAAGTAGAAGTTAGTAAAAGTACCTGATGTTTGGATAATATACTGTGCCATAGCGCTGTGTTCACATACCTGAACGTTACTGATCAGCCTCCACAGCTCTGAGAGAGGCCTGATTGTCCTCAATTTGTAATTTGGAAAAAAATGATATATCTAAGAAGTTAAGCAACTTTTCTCAAGTTTACTCATCACACTCGGCATAGCATATAGACCAAAGATGAATTCTCAAGAGAAATTTTTAAATCTTTTTAACTAAATGAAAGTGAAGATATAATTTATCAAAGTTTGTAGGATGCAGCAAAAGTAGTGCCTAGAGGAAAATTCTTAGTAGTGAATGCATATATTAGAATAAAAATTAGAGCAGAAATCAATGACATTGAAAACAGTAAATCAACCAAGGAAGTTTATAAAACCAAAATCTAGTTCTTTGAAAATTTCAAGAAAATTGATAAGCCTCTAGCCAGGCTAACTAAGGAGAAAAGAGAAATGACACAAATTACTAGTATTAGAAATGAAAGAGGGCACATCACTATTGATCCCATGGATATTCAAAGAATAATAAGGGAATATTATTAATGACATCTCTAGAAAGTGATTGTTCAACCCTTATTTGTGAAGAGGAATTTCCTCTACTCAGGCATGGCCCATGCCATCCCACATCCTTTTAAAAGAGTGGTGTCTACAAATTAACACCCTGTGTGGTGTGATCTTACTGATGAAGCCCAGAGAAGGACTGTCACATGCCTTGTCTGGGACTACACTTCTAGTAATACAGCAGTATGTAATTTTTCACTAATATTAAGTTTACGTTTGCAGAAATTCCCAAGGGTTTGTCAGGTGCACACTTCCTAAACCACACCTCCCTCATCCTTCAGCTCTGGGGTTAGCTATTTGGGTACTCAGCTGGGCCCGGGTGGATGACATTGTTCCTTGTTACATTTCATCTTGCTAGATTCAGTCCATTATTTCAGCCTGTCAAGATTTTTAAATTCCAGTTATGTTACCCATTGTACTTACTGTTTTCTCTCAACCTATTCAAATGCCACAAGTACCCTCTCCACAGTCTGTCACACCTCTCTTATTATTTGTGATTCTTCCAGAACAGTTGTGTTTAAAGTATATTAGTTAGAAGAGCCCTTTCTACAAATGGCATCTGGAGTAGGGTGACAGCATACAGAGCAAATGAGAGCTGAGCCCATCCTACTGTCCACCTTCATCCAGGTAGACCTTGAAGCCATTTCTCAGAACTAAGGACTCTGCTGGCTGAGGCTAAAAGCTACTCCTCCAAGATGGCCAACAGAGGTCTTAGAATCCTAGGGTATGACCCATGAAGGAGACCGGGTGAACTTGTTTGAGCACCTAGAGAGTCTCATACCATGCTTGACCACCTCTCTTCCATCCTTTAATCTTCGGGGGCAAAGACTGATGTCAAACGAGAGGAGGAAGGAGGAAGGGTGCTGTGATCCTCACTTACTCAGAAGCAGTGAATGGTAGAACAGATCTCTTGTTTGACTTTCTTCAACCAAATCAAACTTTAAAAAAAAATCCATATTTTCACTCATTAACTTTCTTAATAAATGTTGGTCAACCACTTCCTATATGCCAAGCCTTGTTCTAGGCTCTCTGGGGACACAGGGCTGAATACAGAAGACCTACTGCAGCCCATACAGAACTCTCCATGTGGCACTGGTGTGGACATGGGCTGGGAAGGTGAGCAGGAGGAGGAAGACACAAAACAGGTAATCAGACAAATACTGGGCTGTAAATTGCATTAAGTGCTCAAAAGGAAAAATGCACATCTGCATGACAGGGAATGTGGGGGATAGAGGGTACCAAGGAAGACCTTTCTGAAAACATAGAACCCACATTAAGACCTGAGCAGTGAACAGATGCGGGCCCATGAAGAGGGAGAGGCCAACACCTTCCATGAAGAGAGAAGAGCATGGGAGGCGCCTGGGGCAAGAAAGTAATTGATATTTTCAAGTAATTTATTGAACAGGAAAGAAAAGCCAGTGTGGCTGGGATGCAGTGAGAAGAGGGTGACTTGGGAGGAAACTGCAAGCCAGCCAGGAGCCGTGTGTTGCAAAGCCTGCTGACTTACTGTAGGACAGGAAGCTGGGTTCCAAGTGCTTGGTGATCCACTTAAGGACTTTTCTTTTTTTAAGCAACAATAAACATTTATCATCTCACATAGTGTCTATCGTTCAAGAACTTGGGAGTGGCTGAGCTGGGTAGTTCAGGCTCAGAGGCTCTCACGAGATTGTAGTCGAGCAATAGGCTAGGGCTACAGTCATTTAAAGACTTGACTGGGGCTGGAGGAGCCCCTTCAGGATGGCCAACTAAATCGCTGGCAGGCTGATGCTGGCTGTTGACTGAGGGCCTCGGTTCCTGTCTACGTGGACTCTCCATAGGGCTGCTTGAAGGTCTTCACAGAATGACGTCTAGCAGTTTTTGCCTTTCTGCCTGATCTTTCCCCTTTGTTTCCTTGTTACTGCTTTTTTTTTCAGTTGTTGCATTGTGGTGAAAGATATTTCAATAAAATTTACTATCTTAGCCATTTTTAAGAGTGCAGTTCAGTGGGATTAAGTACATTCACATTGCAGTCGACCATCATCACCACCCTCCATCCACAGAACACTTTTCATCTTGGAAAACTGAAACTCTGTATCCTTAGGTGTCAAGTCCACATCCCCCAGCTCACCCAGCTCCTGGCACTCCATTCTGTTTTTTGCTGCTATGAATTCGACGATTCTACATACTTCATACAAGTGTAATCATACAGTATCTATCCTTCTGTGACTGACTCATTTCACTTAGCATAATGTCCTCAAGGTTCATCGTGTAGTGACAAGTGTTAGCATTTCCTTCCTTTTTGAGGCTAATATTCCACTGTGCCTGTGTATATGCCCCATTTTGCTTATCCATTCATCCATCAGTGGACACCTGGGCTGCTATTTTGAATAATGTTGCTATGAACATGGATGTACAAATATCTGTTCATGCTCCTGTATTCAATTCTTTGGGCCCATTCCCAGAAGTAGAATTGCTGGATCAAAGGGTGATTCTATTTTTAATATTTTGAGGAGCCATCAAACTTTTCCAGAGCAACTGTTCCCTTTAAGACTCCCTCTAACAGTGTACAAAGGTTCCAATTCTCCATATTCTCACCAACACTGTTGTTTTTGATAAGGGTCATCCTAATGGGTGTGAGGAAGTATCGTGTGATTTTGATTTGCATTTTCCTAATGGTGAACCATGTTAAGCATGTTTTCATATACTTGTTGGCCATTGTATATTCTTTCAAGAATGCCTATTCAGGTCCTTTGCCTATTTTTGAATCCCGTGGTTTTCGTTTTAGTTGTTGAGTTTTAGGAGTTCTCTAAACATTTTTGGACATTGGTCTCTTATCAGTTATGTGATTTGCAAATATTCTCTCCATTTGGTAGGTTGCCTTTATTCTTTTGATAATACCTTTTGATGCACAAAGTTTTTAGTTTTGATGAAGTCCAACTTGTCCATTTATTCTTTCATTACTTGTATTTTTTACATCATATTGAAGAAATTATTTGCAAATCCAGTATCATAAAGATTTTGTCCTGAGTTTTCTTCCAAGAGTTTTATAGTTTTAGCTTTTATGTTTAGTCTTTGATCCATTTTGAGTTAATTTCTGTATATTATATTAGATAAGGGCCCAACTTCATTCTTTGGCATGTGGATATTCAGTTTTCCCATCACCATTTGTTGAATGCTGTGTCAGTCTTTCACTCAGGACCATAATGGTCTTGTCTACATGAGGAATCAGGCAGGACACACTTTATTCCACATCTTTATATTGACCAGGAACCCACAACCCTTGAAACAGTCTCTGCTCTGCTCCACTTAAGGATAAGCAGGAGAGTTCATGGCCCTTTTCATATATTTAACATCATTATGGACTTGTCATAGAAAATGCATTGTATGGGCTCAAAGGCGGGTGGGAGGACTGAAGTAATTATACTACTGTTGTAATGCAGGTAAGAGCCAGCACCTTGGACTAGAGCAGGGACAGAGGAAAATCAAGAACTGGACAGAATTAAGCAATAATTTAGCCTTAAACATGACAGCACTTAGAGATGAATTAGTCATGGAGAGAGCAGTGGGGGGAGCCCCCCATTTTCCGGCTGGCCACTGCACTGAGATAATGGATGCTGGGAGAGAAATAGCTTGGTGGGAAGGTCCTGAGTGTTCCTGTGGGCGTCATGAGCTGAAAGAGCCCTTGAGATATCCATGTGGAGGTGCTGAGTGGGCAGCAGGAACTCCGGAAAGACCACCGAACTAAATCTAGAAAGAAGAGGTCGTGTCGTGGGCAAATAAACGCGGGCTGGCCCTGTGGGGCCCGAGGGGCTTAGAAGGATGAGCAGAATAGAAAGGAGGAGGCTGAGGACAGAGCCCTGAAGAGGCTTGACATTTACAGCCTGTGGGGAGAAGCTGTGGCCAGACAGGAAAGCTGGCGTGTTTGGTGTCAGAAAAGCCGGGAGAGGAAGCATGTCAGACACGCTGAGAAGCCAGCATGAGGAGGACTAGGAAATGCCCCCATGGTGGCTTCAGCACAGCCATCAGTGACCCCAGCCAGAGCCACGAGGAGACAGGAGAAGCAGCCTAGCACGTGGAGGACAGTACGGGAAGGGAAGGAATGGAGAGGGTGTGCAGACAACTCACCGAAAGAGTCTGGCCAGAGGACATGGCAAGCCAGGCAAGATAGAAGAACAGCTGGAGGGGTCAAGATTGTTTCAACACTGGTATCTCTGTGTCTCCAGCCAGACCATACCCAGCATGCTCTTCACGTGACCGGAGGACAAGCCCAGGGGCCAGGTCCTCTTCCGCGCTCCCTGCTGTTGTCTGAGCAGAGCACGACCTTCCCTTGCTGCATCCAGCCTGTCACCACACTGTGTACATCTCAGTGGCACCAGGAGATTTGCTTTCCGCAGCATAAGCTCAGTTCACGTTTCTTTCCAAGCAGGCATCTGCGGTAGACTCATGGTCTCTGAGCCCCTCACGCTCATTTTTTTCTACATTTGTAACTGTAGGCACTTCTTATTGGTGCCTTCGAACTTACCTCACAGCACCCTTTCCTTTAGGCAAAAACACACATCAGTCAAAATGTCAGCCACTTTAAGTATGTAAATGTGCTTCATTAAGCACAGAAGTGACAGTAGTTCATGACTTCAGGGCCTTCTCCAGGCCCACAATGACTGTGTGTGTGCCTGTGTGTGTCTGTATGCATGTATATGTTCACCTATGGATGCATGGGTGCCTGTGTGCTTGTGTGCATGTGTGTATGCACAGGTGAGGGGGGAGCAGTGTACTTTTCTGGGACAAGGGGCAACTTTAATACCTTTTTCCAACTCTGTTGCTGTGGACTGCAGCCCCTGGGAAGCCTGGCCCCGCCAACGGACAGCAAGTTCATGGAGAAGGAGAAGAAGCCACCCTTAGCAACTGTGAAGGGGGGCAGAGGAAAAGGAAAGGGCAAGAAGAAAGGGAAAGTGAAAGAGGAGGTGGAGGAAGAAACTGACCCCCGGAAGATCGAGCTGCTGAACTGGGTATGTGGGACGTCTTTGCTCCCATTTCACAGATCACAGGGCTCACAGAGCCAGCCTCCCTCTCTGTCCGAGGGAAGGAACAATTCCTGCTGCCTTTGCTTCAGCCCCACCAGGGCCCTGAGTCCCAGAAGGCCGTAGTAGAGCTCTGATAGGATAGGGTCAGTATCTCAAATGGCAACAGCACATTGGCTGTGATGCAGCTGGCCAAGTTGTCGTGATCATTAGATATTCCTGCTCTGGGGGAGTGTGAAGCCACTCTGAGAGATGGCCGGGTCACCTTGCTCAATAGCAGTGCTCTCTGCCTGGCAGACACACAGACGCTTAATGCATGAAAATATGGGAACAAACCAATTATTACTGAATAAATACAATTCAGGCAACAGAAGAAGGAGCCCATGACTGGGGAGGGGAGGTAACAGCAGTCATTTGGGCTGCAGGACGCAGTCACGCATTGCACGGCAGTCCCTGGCCTTGCTGCTGTTAGGACGCAGGCAAGACAGGTGCTGGGCCTCTGCAGGGACATGTGATTAGCATCATCACGGTCACCCAACCTGGTGGCATGCTGCGTGCCCATGTGGTTCCACCCAGCTGCCCCGGCAGGTAATTCACAGCCAAGAAACAAACTGTGTCCACCTGTTCTCCAGCAAGGCTTTGCATTATACTGCGTGTGGTAGCTTCCATAATTTTTAAATGAAAGACACAAGTGATAAATAAAGTGCACAAAATATTACAATCTTCCACCTCAAAAAACATTATTCAAAGAGTTCAGAGTTTGGAGATTCAAGTACTGATTGCACTTAGATTTTGAAAAGAATGCTATGGCTTATGTGGGTCTTCTTTCCCACGTATACATTAGAAGAAAGCAAATAAACTCTATTTTAATTTTTTAAAACCTGAACACTCCATAGAGAGAGTGGCACCAGTCTGGCTGTAAACTTAAACCCTCTTCAACTTGTTTTAAGGACAAGATCATTTGCTTTTCTTTGATACTTTGATAGGACATGTCAGGGCTGAACTGAGAAGAAAAAAGAGAGGAGATGGGCTGTATTTACTCAAGACAAAGAGCAAAGAGAGCCAGCCGCAGATGCTCCTGTATCTGCCGGGTCAAAATATGTTTTCTGAGATGCTTCTGATCTGCCTCCCACCCAGTGCGCCTCTGAGAGGCACTCAGGGCCCCCTCTCCTTGGTCCACACAGGTGAACGCTCTGGAGCAAGCCATGCTGGACGCTCTGGTCTTGGACCGAGTCGACTTTGTGAAGCTCCTGATTGAAAATGGAGTGAACATGCAGCACTTTCTTACCATTCCAAGGCTGGAAGAACTTTACAACACGGTGAGTGTTTTGGAAGGAGGCAGGGCAGAGAACAACTGGCCGTCTGTACACAGGGATACCTCATTTTATTGCACTTCACAGACATAGCATTGTTTTACAAATTAAAATCTGTGACAACCCTGCAATGAGCCTATTGGTGCCATTTTTCTGATAGCATGTGCTTGCTTTGTGTCTGTGTGTCACATTTTGGTAATTCTTACAATGTTTCAAACCTTTCCATTATTATCATGTTTGTTAACGTGATCTCTGGTCATATGAGTTCCTGAAAGCTCAGATAATGGTTAGCACTTTTTAGCAGTAAGGCATTTTTTAAATACATACATTGTTTTTTAGACATAATGCTATTGTGCTCTTAATAGACTACAGTACAGTGGTCCTCAACAGTTACTTGCTAAAATTTGGTAAATTTCTAATACACTTTTTCACATCATGAGATGCTCTTTAAAATAATTCCGTAGAAAGTATTTAACATATCTTGAATGTATTGAATACCTCTTAACCACAACCAGTGCTGTCTTGTAAAAGAAACAGGCTGATAGTGGGTTACATTCCAGCTCTCACGATTCATTAGTTCTACAGAGCAGGGTAGGGTTTCGCTCCCAGAGTTGAAAAGAAAAACATATTTAATATGCTTGAATGCTTCTCTTTCAGAGACTGGGTCCTCCAAACACCCTTCATTTGCTGGTGAGGGATGTAAAAAAGGTCAGTCTGCTGTTTTGTAATCGTCACCCATAGGTATCTTTCAATAAGATATTTTGCAAGGCCATTTTAAAATTTGTAAAATGTGTTGTCAATTTATTGGAGGCATAAGAAATAAAGAATTCCTCTCTCCATAAAGAGAGTTTACTTAAAACCAACAAATAATAATGATCTTTTTTTAAGTTACTGTTCATCCCCACACACATACTGAATGACTGTTGGATTATGGCACCCTGGCATCTTTACCAAGTTCAGAACAACAGCCAGGCGAAGTCTCACCTTACTGCTGACCTGGGCCTCCACTGGCCAATGCAGCCTCATGTCCTAGATCCTTCACTATATGTCCTTCCGGAAGGGGCGTGCCTCATGTCATTCTGCAGACTGAAGCTGTTAGTTGTTCTTGACCCTTTCTGTTCCCTCATTAGTAAGTGACAGATGTTGCAGGATCTTGTGTCATCATGGCATTTCTTGAGGCTAGAAGATTAGATTGGGTTATCCTAAGAGTGATTAATTTTACTAGAATGCAGTCTATGACATGCAAAGTGTGGAACATATATTCATACTCTGACCAAGAGAAAATAACTCAAATGAGAGAATACGGTTTTCAGTCAGTGTCCTAGACAGGCTGGTCCTATTTCATACAAATACTGAGTTCTAATAATAGGAGAGTTTGGCTTCTCCAGGCACTGATTGGATCTCAACAGAATCTGTGGACCTGGGAACCAACCAGAACCAGTGCCCTTGTTTCTCAGATTTTTTAGATTAGGAAGTACAAACATTCAAAAGCTACAGCTGCCCAAGTTCAGACCCCACATTTCTCACCTAAATGGCATTGATGATCCCACTCCTGCCTCTGGTCCCACTACCTCCCACCAGCCCCAGTCACAGGGATTCCCGCTTAAAACATTCCAAAACCTCGTGAAGATCAAGCTCTTATCAAGAACTTGCTCCCCACAAGCCTGGCCCTGTCGTCATGCCCTTCTCTTTCCCATCCACCCCCAGATGCATGTTCCATCTTGCTCCTGTCTGGGGCTCTCTCCCTCCTCTCCCCCTGCAATTCTGCTCCGCCAGCTCCTAGCTACCTCCCACGTCGCCTGCTCCGGGAACCCCTTTCTCACCCTTCCACCCACCCACCCAGAACCTGCTGCTGCATCAGAGCTGTTTGTGGTTTTACCCCTCCCCACCCCACACACCAAAGCTCCCTAAGAGCAAGGCTGTATCTCCTTATCTCTGCAGATGGGACATGGACATGGGCAAGGATCTGATAGGAGCTAAACAAAAAGAATGCCTGAGGAAAGGATTTACTAAATGTGGCTAGTCCGAATGTAAAAGGGAGGACATTTAGAATGTGCAGTCTCCACGTGATGGAGCCCAGGTGTCCACCATCATTTCAGCCCTAGAAAATTAAGCCAGCAATAAATGGCACATAGTAAAATCTCCTTATAATTGATTGGTCAGTTCTGAGTCCAATCTGAGTGGGTGACTGATGGACAAATGCAGGCATAGCCTCTCTTAGTGCTTTTCCCCTGCTTCACACACTGACTTTGTCTCAACACAGCCTCTTCCATCTTTTTGCAAAACTCTGCCCCTTCACCGACTTCCAGTCGCAACAGAAAGTTTGTGGTATTTTCATTTTTATTGAAATCTGAGGGCCCCCAAAAGTCATGGGGCAGAACTGTGGAGCCTTACCTACGAAGTCCAAGCCCAGGGGTATTCTGTCCCCACACTAGTTCCCACAGAGTCCTCCTTCCTGTTATGATGGTCACGTCCTTCTCCTGCAAGAAATCGGGACTCCAGCCCCTGAAGCTGGCTTCTCCCCTGCAAGCAGCTATCAAAGCGCCTTCCCAACAAAACGAATCTGCTTATGCAAAGAAAATCTCCCACCGGCTGCACCACATTCCCTTCACGTTTACACATGCACATTAAAGTCCGTGCTGTCTATGCCCACAAACAGCCCAGCCCCTACCCTATATATACCCTCATGTTTCCTAACTCTGCTCATTGGGAAAGTTTAATCCACTTCCTGAAGTATGGCTTAACCCATCACCTCCCACAGTCACATGGTAATAGACTGACTATTGGTTAATACTCCATCTGTTATGTCAACACCCAAGTCATGGCCAGGAACCAGCACTTAGGCCCGAGGTGTGTGATGAATGCCACACTTCCACTGAGTTCTTGAGAGCCTGAGACACGGCTTCTCTTCCTACAGGGCAACCTGCCGCCTGATTACCACATCAGCCTCATAGACATAGGCCTGGTGCTGGAGTACCTCATGGGCGGGGCCTACCGCTGCCACTACACTCGGAAGAGCTTCCGGACCCTTTACAACAACTTGTTTGGACCCAAAAGGGTAGGCCTAAGTGGGCGGGTGGTTCCGTGGTTCCTGAGCTGCATGTGGTTTCATTGCTCTCCTTCCCATAACTCAGCCTGTTCAAAGCCACGCTCATCACCCCACCCCAAGTACACCCCAAGTTCACCTGCCCTCCCACCTGCAAGGCCTCACCATCCCTACAGATTGCCCAGGCTTCTCTCCTTTACCCCTTAGAAGTCGGGCTACTCAACCCTCCAACTGCCCGCCCTTTGCCTACCATACGCCTGCTCCTGGGCTGCCTCTCCAAACCACCCTGCCACTGTAGTGACCCTACCCTTCTGAAGCAAGAAACTTGGCAGTGAACTCCCTGCTGAGAATCTCCCAGTGCCTCCACTGCCTGAGGGACCACCGCCAGGAGCTCATCATCACAGCATCTGAGGCTCTCTGACCGCCCACAGGGACCTCCACTGAAAGCAAACTGTACTACTGGGCAGCCGTATCTTCCCCAAGATCAAAATCCCACGCACTGTGCAAACTCAACTCAGGAGTCAGATCTTCCATGAAGCCCCCCTCGTGTCCCCCCTTAGGGCCACTAGAGCGGAGTCTGCAGTCCTGTTAGGGAACGTGTCTGATTCTACCTGGAGTAAGGGTCACGTGTCTGCACATGTCTCCTCAACTGACTTCAGCTGATGGAAGCAGAGTTTCCATATAAGCATTTCCTTTCCTTGGATATTGTCCTTAATTGTTAACAATACAAGTACTTTTAGCTCTATTATTATTCTCCTACTAAAAACACTACTAATGTACTACTAACATGACTACTTCTGACGTTGGTTATCTGATTAAATTGATGTTTTTTTCTTCCCTTTCATTATGCAGCCTAAAGCTCTTAAACTGCTGGGAATGGAAGTAAGTAGGCTTTGTTTTCAATAGTTTTATGATCTCTTGGTCAAGTATATGTACCCTCTTCATTTTATATTTTAATGTAAAATTGAATGATTTTGTTTTCCATGAATAAATCCACTATACCAAAGTTACTTAGATGATTTAGTCAAATTATATGAAAGGATCATAGGTATTTTTTAAGAAGGATAAAGCTACCCTATTCAATTTATAGAGTTAGCAAAATGATGGTTTCAAAAGCAGAGAAATATGAGACAAAGAACTAGAGAATAATGCCACTTATATGTGTGAAATCATAAATAATAGCAAAATGAACTCATATTTTTAAAGTCCTAAACAAGTCATTAAATCCTCTAAGAATGCGAATATAATTTAATGTTAGCAAGTCTTTACTATACTGTATTACCCCAATAAGTTCAAGAAAGAAAACAGTATGACAACATTTTTCAAAAGATGCTACAGAGGAATGGAAAAAATCTGAAACAGTTTCCTTAACTTCTTTAAAAAGTTTACTAGAAAAAGAATGATGAAATAAAGCAAATGATAAAACAAAAATATTCTCTGATATAGGAAGAAAATTATCTTAGGCAAATAGTATTACTTTGTATCTGGGAAATCAACTAAAGCTCAATCATAATAGGACAAACATACCTAAAAAGAATCTTAGCAAGTAACCTTAAGAACAAAGCACTAGACGTAGACGTAAAAATATATCAATGAATGGAAGAAATACTATATCATAACACAGAATATGAAGACTGACTATTGCAAAATTTTTTTTCCAATAAACTCATGAGTTAAACAGTATCCCAATTTCTGTATGGATTCAGGGGAGAAGGTTTTGATTCTGTTTGTAGTTAAGACTGACCTTCAGCATTGCCACTCATAGCAGATGGAGTTGTAGTCTAATAAGGGTTATGATTTGGAACTTTCCATAAGCTCCTGTTCTCTCAAATCCTTTCTCACGTTGGGTTTTTCCGTTGGGTGAAGCTTCATCTATTGTAGAATGGCCCGGCCACACTCCTCCTTTTATACCTTTCACTACCTTTATAGGAACTTTAAAATAAGAGTCCATTCTGGCTTTCTATTTTCTAGGATCAACTTTTGTCATTTATATTTTCCTAGAAAATAATTTATTCCATCTAGACTTTCAAATTCATTGGTATGTACCTTTATATAGTATTATAATTTTTTCAGTCTCTTCAGTGTCTTAGTTGTGTGCTCTTTGTTCTTCCAATTTTAAAAAAATTTACATCTTCTTTCTTTTATTTTAAGCAAATTTGCCTACATATTTGACAGGCATTTTTGCTTTATCAAGCAAGTTTCTTTTTTCTGCTTTGTTTTTATTCCTTCCTTCCATATACTTTCTTTAGACCTACTATACTGTACTTATTGACTCTATTTCAAAGTAAAGAGCACTCATTTTCAGTCCTCCCTCTATTCCAATAAGTGCATGAAACGTATAAATTTTTCTCTGAGCATTGTTGTCATGGAACCTCACCGGTTTAGGTAAGTAGGACCTTCACTACCATTCATTTCTAAATAGGTTTTAATTTCTTCTTTAATCCAAGAGTTATTTAGAAGGGTGTTTTAAATTTTCCAGATACATATTTTTGTTGTTATCCTTCTGTTGTTGATTTCTAGTTTTATTCTTTAAATGTAGACTGCATGATTTCTGATACTTGGAATTTGTTGATACAGAAAATGTAAAAGGAACTGGGGTATAATGCCTCATGGATTTTTGTTAATGATCCGTTGTGCTGGAGACAAACATGTACCCTGTTGGTATAATTCGTATGTTTATCTGGCAGATCAAAGTTGTGAATTGTGTTATTCAGTTTGCTTCTATATTTACTCATTTTTTCAAGTTCATTGGTGGAAGGTGTTTAGAGTCTTACTGTAATGGCAGGTGTGACAATTTCTCTTCATACATCTAGTTCATATTTTCTGCTGTTTTATTGGGTTGTTCTCTTTTTCTTTTTGGTTTGTGGCAGTTATTTGCATTTTAGGGACATTGACTCCTTGCTTGTTATAGTCTTTCTCTAGCAATCTTAAAATTATTTTAAGAAAATGTATATACAATTAATATTTTGATATTATATATTATTGAAAGGCAGGCTTAAAAGGGCTTCTGTTTTACAGCATTTAATTAGCTATATTGGATTTTTATTTAATATATTGTTGAAAATAAAGCTAGATTTATTTTTAAATTTCTATGATGGCAATGTTTAACCTATGTAGAACAACCTTACCTAAATTACTGTAACTAGTTTTGCAAATTAGAAAATCAGAACAAAAACATTTTTAAAAAAAGGCAAGATATGACAGTTTCAATAAAAATGTTATAACAATTTATTATGAGATTATATAAGTTGGGTCAGTCATGAATAACACACGATAAGAATTAGTGAGCCAGGCTCCTTGGGGCCCCAGCCATTCTGACTGTGAATGGGGGCAAGCTATTCAGACTTAGGGCCACAATTTTCCCATCTGAGGGAAAGGAAAAATTTCACAATCTCTGAGAACCATTGTAAGAATAAAAATAGGTATTTAACAGGAAAGCTACTTGCAGAAGAGTAAATATCCATTTCTACTATGCAGCTGAGTACTGAAGCCCCGTGTATTTCCATTCTGCTCCCATGCTTCACCCCCTGTTCTTCCCATCTGTACCCGCCTTACTTCTGAATCCTGCTCCATTTTCAGAACTGTCCCTCAGAATCCCTTTAGGAAATGGGAAACGGTGGCCGTCCCTATGCACTTCATGGGTGAAAGGACTAAGTTCATTCAAAATGGAATGTTTGCTTCCTTAAAGCACTGGTAGGAAAAGCAAAGATGTTTCCCTCTCCCCTTTTGTACATTTTTCCTGTTAATCTCTGGTTCAACTACTTCTGGCAAACGAGTATTGGCTTTGGAAGACTTCCCTGAGGAAGCGAACCGTGTGCTTCCTCTCTCCCATGGTGCTGTGTGTATTTAAGTCTTTTACTTCGGCAGCGTCTCCTCAGTTTTTAAAGGCTGCTGGAAAATATACCTGCCAGTCCAGCGGTGTAAGTTCCTCAAACAGTAGTATACTTTTTCAGTTTGTGTGGGTTTAGATGGTTTACTTATCACAACACATACGTGCATCTTTTCAAAGGAATTAATGTCCACTGAGTGGGGAATGCAGATGGACATGGACGTAAGAAGCCTCTTTATTCTCCCTACAGAGAGGCTCCCCTTTTTCCAGTAATCCCGAAAGCCTTTGTTGCTCGTTTACAGCAGCATCATGATAACTGTGCTTGTCTCCCTCAGGACGATGAGCTTCCAGCCAAAGGGAAGAAAAAGAAGAAGAAGAAAAAGGAAGAAGAGATCGATATCGACGTGGATGACCCCGCTGTGAGCCGTTTCCAGTACCCCTTCCACGAGCTGATGGTGTGGGCTGTGCTGATGAAACGCCAAAAAATGGCAGTCTTCCTCTGGCAGAGAGGCGAGGAGAACCTGGCCAAGGCCCTGGTGGCCTGCAAGCTCTACAAGTCCATGGCCCACGAGTCCTCCGAGAGCGAGCTGGTGGATGACATCTCCCAGGACCTGGACAACAACTCAAAGTGAGTGTCTCAAGGGAATTTAAGAACCAGGAAGGATGAAGGTCCTAAGTAGTAGCCTCTTTGGAGGGTGGCAGATGTGTTTCTCACTTAAGTACAATTATATTTAAAGTTTTTTCATAAATTGCTTTGTCCCTCATATCAATATTTTCCCTTTTGACATGTTTCTGGACCATCACTCTTTTTGTGTACTGCCTCCCCATGGATACTACTGAGCCACCGATTTCCTTAAGGAAACACGCACTCAGAGGAGCGCAGTTGTAGTTCAAGCTGCATCGCCTTCTCCTTTCTGCCCCCTGTGGCCCCCATCATTCTCCCTCCCAGCGATGAGGCCCTCCCTGCTCTGGGCCTCCACGGCAACCGGACCCTCTCTCTGCCGCAGCATTGAGAGTGTTGCATTCTCTGATAATCAGTGTGTTATTAGAGTACCACAGACATACAGAGAAAGGCACACATCCTAAATGCACAGCCGGGTGACTGTTCACAAATGGAACACAGCGGTATGACCAGCACCCAGATCAGGAGACAGGACCTTCCCTGCACCTGTGATCCCTCCTGGGTGCCTTTCAATGCCTCCCTGCCCCTACCACAAAGAGAAGCACCAGTCCCACAGGTGCATTGTGTCCTCCCTGTCCGCATGCCTGTTTTATGAACATTGTCTTCTCATCTCTGGGGCCCTGGGGCCTGAGAGACGGACTTGGGGGCAACCTAAAACCCATCTGCAGCAAGAGCAGTTGGCCCCCAACATGACCGAAGAGGGACCCTGGCCCCAGCCCTTCCCCTCTGGCAACAAACCCTGTGAGCTCCTGCTTGTAGAGGGCTGGAAGTCGGGATCTGTGACCTGTGGCCCCATGGTGTCCCTGGGGACATGGGTCCCTAACAAGCAGCATGTGGCCACTGCAGCTTCAACCCGGATCCCGTTTCTTTCCCCTAGAGACTTTGGCCAGCTTGCCGTGGAGTTGCTGGACCAGTCTTATAAGCATGATGAGCAGGTTGCCATGAAACTGCTGACCTACGAGCTGAAAAACTGGAGCAACTCCACCTGCCTCAAACTGGCTGTCGCTGCCAAGCACCGGGACTTCGTCGCCCACACCTGCAGCCAGATGCTGCTGACAGACATGTGGATGGGAAGGCTGCGAATGAGGAAAAACCCCGGCCTGAAGGTATGTATGACGTGCTGTCAGACCTGTCAGGATGTTACAGTGACACCTGTGAGCTCTTAAGCGCCTGCCTGTGCTAAGCACTTCCTGCAGATTATTTCATTTATTCCTCTGAACAACCTCACGAGGAAGAAGCTGTGGTAGTTCTTGTCTGATAGATGAAGAACCTGAAGCTTCAAGATCAAATAACTGGCATAGGATTGGAGCTGGTAGGTGTGGGTCCAAGACTGGAACCCAGGAGGCCTGACACCAGGGTACCTGGTTCACAGACCTGGGAGTCCCTCCTGACTTACTATGCACCCCTGGACAGGCCATCAAGCCCACCACTAAACAGCTACCTGAATTCTATTTCTATAGATTCCCTTAGACATAGAATTACATATAGATATAAATTTATAGATAAAATTGTGATAATATTTTAATCGGTGATATTTTCATTACATGAAGTTTGTGAGAGAATAAGAAGCTAAGAAAGAGTTTGAAAAGGATGTTAGGGGCAGAAAACTGTATTGTGATCTGCTGTTTGTTAACTCATAAATTATCTCAAGCAGAGATTCTAATCTTCAGATCACCTAGCTTCATAATGGAAATATTATAGTGATCTCATGGATTTGCTATGGACAAAGAAAAGGCAACATATGTTATACTGTGTAGCATGTTTCCGGCAAATAGAAGGCACCCTTTCTTAAAAATATGAATGTTATGCCTAAAGTATCCAATTCTATATAATGCACTAAGCTGACATTATACATAACTTTGGATATTGATAAATAGTTTTCAGAACACCAAGAATAATGAGTAGATCCTAAAGCTTTTAAAGAAAATAAAAGATTACCTACAAAGGGATGAGTATCAGATTAGCATCAGATTTTCCATCAATAATACTGAATACTGGGACCTTCCTTATTTTGAGAGGAAAACATTTGGAACTTGGAAATTTTTATGTAGTCCAGCTATTTAAAACATGAGGCTAGAAAATATCTATATAAGATAGGCAAAGATTCAAGTTATATACTTCCTACATACCTATTCAAAAAAAACTTCAGCAGGCATTCCAGGAAAAGAAGTGTAAAAATTGCAAGAAAAAATATGATGTGGAATGTGAGAAACAAGCTCCAAGTTTTAAAAATCCCCGTCCAAAAGCTATGTAAGAGGATGTAAAGGCAGTCAGATTACATGAGTATATGGAGTCAGTGGGAGGAGAGAAGAGCTGGAAGAATAGAAATGATTCCAATAAATAGATGGAGGGACTAAGAAGCTACAGAGAACAGAGAATAGAGGTTAGAGAAACAAGAACAGTTTATAATCCTTAACAAGAAAATCCTTAATGAGCACATAGAAGGGGAATCAAATTTCAGGAAAATAAAAAACTGCACACAAAAGATAAGGTTCCATTACAATTCAAATTAAAATTTGGAATGATTTGGACTGGTAGAGTACCAAAAAGACCATTTGACCTCTGATTCTGAGAACATGTTCCTTTAGGGGCACCAGAATTCTGCATTAAAATTATAACCATAGCATGCCATGTGGAGGTGCAATAAACAAAATGTATATAGTAACAAAAATGTAAAAGCTTGTTCTTGGTTCTCAACTTTTAGAATAATCCTATGGACAAGCATTGAAGACTTAACTATGGTTCCTAAATAGAATACAAATGTTTTCAAGTATGAAAATACATAAGCAAAAGTACAGCTAGGAAAAGTTGGGAGGGGGAAGGAGGAGGGGAAAACAGTGTAAAAGATAATATCCCCATATTAGAAGGTACAGAATCCAAACTATCAAAAGTTGTTGAAACAAGAAATAAAGGTTTCAGTTATAAAGGTAGCTTGGTAGGAACTAAAAATACTGATGTGTCTATTAAACATGGGAGCAGAGGAGGAATGGATTGAAATAAAATAATCTGGTGTAAAATAATAAGATGCCAATAGAATTAAATTAGCAAAGAATATAACAAATCAACAGGAAATTAACAAAGAAATAGAAATATATCACCTATGTTGTTAAAAATATGAAAGTATCAATAAGATCTAGAACCAGAAATAGAAGTGATTGTCTAAAAAATAACTCCAGAATTTCTCTTAAAGACAAATGATATGAAACCATATATTGAAAAAACAAATTGTGAATCTGGGTATAGCAATCCAGAATAACCAACATCAAGATACATTTTAACAAAATTGCAAGATTTTAATGAAAAAGAAAAAATTCTTCAGGCAGTTAGGCAAAAAAAATAACAAATGATTTATAAGGAAAAGCACTTAGATTATCATCAGACTTTCAGCAGCAACTGTTTATGTCAGAGAAAAAAATGGCACACCCAGAAAATACACCAGAAATAAAATGTGAGGCAAGGGTTTTATATCCAGTAAATGGAACTGTCATATATAAAGGGTACACACAAACTGTTACCAACATGCAAGGACCCAAGGAAATACTGTTCCTATGAGCCCTTTTGGAAGAATCTATTAGAGAAAGAGATTTAAAGAACCACATAGCCAGTGAGGCATCAGCATAAGGACTACTGGTAAGTATCAGATACATATTTACTTGTGCTGAGACTAAGCACTGAGATTAAGAAGGAAGGAGACCAGTATGTAATGTTTATGTATTCTGACAATGTAGATATAATACAACCATTAAGAAAAGGGGAAGCAACCTATGCAGAACAAAACTGTAACTGTTTTCAGCAACCCTCATTGATAGTAATAGTAGTAATATTGTTATTTCGAAGCCATAAAGTCCAAGCAACTAAGTAGTGCTGGGGTTATTTTAGTTCTACTATCCTGTCTGTCCTTGAGAACTAAGAGTGCATGTGGAGCAAAGGAAATGCAGTTGCAATCTGCAAGAGAGTAAGTAGAAAGCCTACAGTGCTCAACTGGAAGCAGCGGTATGAATTAATTCCAGCTCTGACCAATGAACAGCTTGGAAACAAGGATCTTCCCCAAAGCAATGAACATCCTTAGTGCCCAGATTGTGGTCTAGAAATTGTATTTCCCACTAACTGAAGACAGAACTTCTTGGAGAAATGGTTGATTCCAGGTCTGGAGTAGGAAATGTGCAAGATGAGCTTGGAACACATCTTGACCTAATAAATGCCAACGAAGCTGTCACAGATCAGTAGGTTCAGAGTAGGGGACCCAGGAGCCCACTTGTGGAATCTTCCACTGGCCAAAGATGGGACAATGTGACTCAACAGTATTACGTATGTCAATGCATTGAAACTTAGCAAACTGGCTTAAATTCATGAGTTCACAACAGTATTTTTTAAAAATAATCAGTCACCTTCAGTGGATGATTGGTAAGCCAATTCATTATCTTGAAAACAGGCAAATAAAAGGAAAAGAATCAAGTATTTATTCTGAATTTCCTACGTGAACTGTACCCCTGGGTAAACACTGAGTAGATGAGGGGAAGCATCTCTGTAAAATTATTCCAACAAAGCAATGAAAAGTGATAGAATTAGAACATGATCAATTTTCAACTCCCAATGGGTGAGTTAATCTAGCACTGAACGTTCACGGCTGCTAACATCACTGCAAGAGAGAGTCTGCTTCCTGATGAAAGAACACGCCATCTACAGTCTTGCCAAAGTGGGCCTGCTCTGGCCTCTGCATCCAGCTGCCAAGTGGCGGGACATAGGGACATAATGAGGACAGAGGAGCATCTCAAATGGCACATGAGTCTTGCAATACTCCAAATCCACTCTGTAATCAACTCTGCAGGTCCACATCCTCTAGCTCTTCAACAGTGAGGAAACAATTTAAAAACCATTTTTAAACATGCCGGAATTTTAAAGGGCAGGATTAAACGGTAGCTGTCTAATAGAAATAAAAGGCAAGCCAACATATGTCATTTAAAATTTTCTAGCTACACTGAGTAAAAATTTTAAGTTATAAAAAATGTTTAAAGTAACATGGTAAAAACTAAAAAAGAAACAGTTGAAATTAATTTAACAATATATTTTTTTGAATCAGTATATACAAAATATTGTCATTTCAACATGTTATCAATAGGAAAAAAAATCATTCATGAGGTAGTCTATATTCTTTTTTTTTTTTTTTTTGTACTAATCTTGGAAATCTGGTGGGTGTTTTGTACTTACAGCACATCCCAGTTTGGACCAGCCATGTTTCAACTGCTCAGTGGCAACACGTGGCAGGAGACCAGTATGTAATGTTTATGTATTCTGACAATGTAGATATAATACAACCATTAAGAAAAGGGGAAGCAACCTATGCAGAACAAAACTGTAACTGTTTTCAGCAACCCTCATTGATAGTAATAGTAGTAATATTGTTATTTCGAAGCCATAAAGTCCAAGCAACTAAGTAGTGCTGGGGTTATTTTAGTTCTACTATCCTGTCTGTCCTTGAGAACTAAGAGTGCATGTGGAGCAAAGGAAATGCAGTTGCAATCTGCAAGAGAGTAAGTAGAAAGCCTACAGTGCTCAACTGGAAGCAGCGGTATGAATTAATTCCAGCTCTGACCAATGAACAGCTTGGAAACAAGGATCTTCCCCAAAGCAATGAACATCCTTAGTGCCCAGATTGTGGTCTAGAAATTGTATTTCCCACTAACTGAAGACAGAACTTCTTGGAGAAATGGTTGATTCCAGGTCTGGAGTAGGAAATGTGCAAGATGAGCTTGGAACACATCTTGACCTAATAAATGCCAACGAAGCTGTCACAGATCAGTAGGTTCAGAGTAGGGGACCCAGGAGCCCACTTGTGGAATCTTCCACTGGCCAAAGATGGGACAATGTGACTCAACAGTATTACGTATGTCAATGCATTGAAACTTAGCAAACTGGCTTAAATTCATGAGTTCACAACAGTATTTTTTAAAAATAATCAGTCACCTTCAGTGGATGATTGGTAAGCCAATTCATTATCTTGAAAACAGGCAAATAAAAGGAAAAGAATCAAGTATTTATTCTGAATTTCCTACGTGAACTGTACCCCTGGGTAAACACTGAGTAGATGAGGGGAAGCATCTCTGTAAAATTATTCCAACAAAGCAATGAAAAGTGATAGAATTAGAACATGATCAATTTTCAACTCCCAATGGGTGAGTTAATCTAGCACTGAACGTTCACGGCTGCTAACATCACTGCAAGAGAGAGTCTGCTTCCTGATGAAAGAACACGCCATCTACAGTCTTGCCAAAGTGGGCCTGCTCTGGCCTCTGCATCCAGCTGCCAAGTGGCGGGACATAGGGACATAATGAGGACAGAGGAGCATCTCAAATGGCACATGAGTCTTGCAATACTCCAAATCCACTCTGTAATCAACTCTGCAGGTCCACATCCTCTAGCTCTTCAACAGTGAGGAAACAATTTAAAAACCATTTTTAAACATGCCGGAATTTTAAAGGGCAGGATTAAACGGTAGCTGTCTAATAGAAATAAAAGGCAAGCCAACATATGTCATTTAAAATTTTCTAGCTACACTGAGTAAAAATTTTAAGTTATAAAAAATGTTTAAAGTAACATGGTAAAAACTAAAAAAGAAACAGTTGAAATTAATTTAACAATATATTTTTTTGAATCAGTATATACAAAATATTGTCATTTCAACATGTTATCAATAGGAAAAAAAATCATTCATGAGGTAGTCTATATTCTTTTTTTTTTTTTTTTTGTACTAATCTTGGAAATCTGGTGGGTGTTTTGTACTTACAGCACATCCCAGTTTGGACCAGCCATGTTTCAACTGCTCAGTGGCAACACGTGGCTCATGGCGCCTACCTAACTGGACAACCCAGGTTTAGGGATGCATGCTCGGGTGATAAAGCTATAAAAGAACAGAATCTATTCCTTTAAAGTCAGGATGGAGACTTCTTTTGGGGGGGTTGGCTTGTAGTGGGGACGAGGTACAGGGAGGAGTTTCTGCAGGGCTGATGCCAGCCAATTTTATAACCCAGGTGTGATAATAAAATCAAGGATGCTTACTTTATAATGGCTCATGAACCTGTACCTTTGTGTGCTTTTGCATATCTGTGGTTTATTTTACAATAAAAAGCTTTACGAGACTTTGTTTCTGGGAGCAGGACTTGAGAAGTAGCGGGATGTGACCAGGGATCTTTTTTACTATAATTCCATTTAGGTTATTCAGTTTTGCAACCACATGCCTGTATCACTTTGATTTTTTAAATATTAATAAATAAAACTCAGAAATAGACACCCAAGAAAATTGATTAGGTTGCTATCACTTCCTTCTTTTTTTTACCTAATGCTTCTTTTAAATACTATGTATACCAAAAGGTATAGATTTTTTTAATTGAGGTATAATATTTTACTGTATACTATTATTTTTGGGTATACCTCATAGTGACTCAGTATTTTTGTACATTATAAAAAGATCTCCATGATAAGTCTAGTTACCATCTGTCACCATACAAAGTCGTTACAATATTATTGCCTATATTCCTTATGCTGCACATCCCATCCCCAGGACTTACTAATGTTGTAACTGGAGATTTATATCTCTTAATCCCCTTCACCTATTTCACCACCCCAACTCCTCCCTGCTCTGGTAATCAACAGTTTGTTTCCTGTATCTGTGAGTCTATGTTTGTTTTTTATCTACTTTTGTTTTATTTTGTTCAGATTCCACATGCAAGTGAAATAATATGGCATCTGTCTTTCTCTCTCTGACTTACTTCCCTTCACTTAATGTCCACTAATGACACATGCATGTTGTCACAAATAGCAATATTTTGCTGTTTTTTATAGTTGAGCAATATTCCATTGTGTATCTATACCACATCTTACTTATCTTTCATCTCTTGATGGACACTTGGGTTGCTCCGGTATCTTGGCTTTTGTAAATAATGCTGCAATAAACATAGAGGTGCATATATCTCTTCAGTTTGGTGTTTTCATTTTCTTCAGATAAATATCCAGAAGTGGAATTGCTGGATCATATGATATTTCTATTTTTAATTTTTTGATGAACCATCCATAGCTGTTGCACCAAAATGTGTAAATATTTTTAAGCATCAAGTTTCCTTCAAAGCATTTCTGAATTTGCGATGTAAAAATATAATTATTCAAAAGTAGGGGTTCCTTGGGTTATTCTTTTTAACTAAATTTTTGAACAGGTAAAATCATATGCACATGGCTCGAAAATAAAAATAAAACTATTTGAAAGTGTCAGTGACAAGTCTCTCTCCCACGCCTGTCCCCATCTGCCCCCATCTGCCCTGTTCCTGTCCGGTGGCAACCACTGATACTTGTTTTTTGAGTATCTTTCCGTATAGAAAGCTACTAAGCCCACACATTCTCCATGTTTCCTCTTTTCCCTGGGAGTTGGCATAGTCACAGTTTTGTACCTTGCTTTTTCACTTAATCTGGGAGCTCTTTCCATAAGTATTACCTAGAAAGTTTCCTCATTCTTTCCTAGCTGACTTACAGTCCATTACTGCAGATTAATACACAGCCAGTCCCCACGGAGGCCATGGAGACCAGTCCCATATAGTGATGTCACACTCCTGCTGCAATGAATGCTCTTGGACACAAACTGTGTCTCACGTATCTGTTAGATAAATGTCCAGAAATGGAATTGGTGACCCCACAGGGGTCTTGCAATTTTGATAGGTTTGACCAGCCCTGCCTGTGGTGGGGTTGTCCCAATTTACACTTCTACCAACAATGTAGGGAAATGTCTGCTTTCCCACAGTCTCACCACCATGGTGTGTGTGAGTAGACATTTGAATGTTCCCAATCTGATGGTAAACATTGACATCTCTGTGCAGGTATTTTGCATTTAAGTTATTATACATGAAGGTGAACACATTTTCCTATCAGTACCTGTGTATCTCAGTTCATAGCTTTTGCCCATTTTTCTGCTGGATTGTTGGAATTTTTCTTTTCAATTTCTGGAAGTTCCTTTCAGATGAGAAAGATTGAGCAGTAAATATGTTTTCCATGAGTTGTTTTTACTCTAGGTATGGCATTTCTGCTGTGAAGGTTGTGCTTTTTATAAGTACCAAATATATTGATCTTTTCTGTGATTACTTCTCTTTTTTCCATTAATCATTTTTTTAAATTAAGGTGTAATTGTTCTTGATTTGGGCACATAATGAGAAAGGCCTTCCCCAACTATCCACTTCTGAAAGAATTCTGCAATTACTTTTAGATATTTTCATATTCTTTCTCTTCTACCCCAACCCTGCCTTTTTTTTTCTTTTATGAAATCTTTAAGCTAGATGGAATTTATTCTGGTGTGAGATGTAGATCCAGCTTAATTGTTTTCTAGATGATCACCCAGTTTCTCAGTACCACTTATTAAATAGGCCACCTTTATTCATCCAATCTGATGTGTACTTTTTATCACATACTAATTTTCTATGAGTACTTGAGTCTCTTGCTGGACCTTCCATCTTGTTCCATTATTTGGTCTATTCATGCACCTGTACTACATGGTCTTACTTACTGATGTTTTATAATGTCATTTTTATATATGGTAGGCAGAGTGCTTTTGCATTGTTTTTAATAGTGGATTCCTGAGGGAAATTTTTCAAACTCAGTACTGAGCATTGGCAGCAGGTTTCAGGGGTGGAGACTCAGAACACGGCACACGACACTGCTGAAAACGACAGCAAGATTTTCCATCTGTGGCCCAGGCCACTCTTCTGCTGTGTAGACAGAGCCCGGGTCACATGCGCCTCCCAACTTTTGGTTCACATAACCACACTTATATTGAAGTTATTTCTGTATAAAATAACTTCGGCCTACTTCACTAGAGGTATCATTATATTTCACCTATTTACTTTTATTTATTGTATTTTAATCTAAGAACCTACCTACGTTGAAACTTGTTGTAAGATCTTTGTTTTTGAGTTACGATTCCCCCCAATACTACTTGCTATTCATCTACAAAAATTTGGTGAATGTTCTTAAATTTTTCACTGTAATTCTACCAATGGACCAAACCAAAGAAGCCACGAACATCAGGGCAGAGATAAACCTGTTCGGGGGCCACTAGGTTTTGGAGTAATGTCAAAAGTTATCATATACTAGGAAAATTTTCAAGAATTGCCATAGCCTAAAAATCCATTTTCTTCATCATGCATAGGTTATAATGGGGATTCTTCTTCCCCCCACCATCCTATTTTTGGAATTTCGGACATACGATGACTTCTCATATCAGACATCCAAGGAAAATGAAGATGGTAAAGAAAAAGAAGAAGAGAATGTGGTTAGTGATGCCCAGGTCATGAAAGTATCCATTTGCTCTCTTTTTCAAAACTGAGATTTCTCTTACCATGAATTTAGAGACTGCAGTGATTGGAAGGTTTTTATAATCTTTTCTTTTTTTTTCTAAGGCTCCTGTCTGATAAACATTGTGCTGGGGGACGTTTCCTATTCAGCAACCTTCTTGCCATGCGCTGTGCTCTGTTTCCAGGATGCGAATGCAGATGCCGCCTCAAGACAGGGCGACGAGGAGAATGAGCTCAAAAAGCAGAGGCGTATTCCCGTCGGCACGAAGATCTGTGAATTCTATAATGCTCCCATTGTCAAGTTCTGGTTTTACACAGTAAGGCCCTCTTGTTAGCATTTGCTGTTTATCCTGTTTTGAACACTTAGCTATGTTAGAATCAAGACAAATGTCAAGGGCTTTAAAAAATGTTTCACAATTCACTGAACTAAAATGAATTATGAAAATGAAACTGAAACAAATTCAGATCTTCTACTACAATTGGATTTAGATACCTCATCATACATTATGTAGGAATGTGGCCATCCCAGCCCTAAACACACCATTTTTCATAAAGCAAAACAGACTCTAAGGTGACTTAAGATGAAGGATTTTTTTAAAGTGTCTTGTGTAATACAAACTTAGGGAAGTACAATTTTATTTCAAAATGAACAAAGATGACTAGTGATTTACAGACAAACTCAGAGATGCCATGTTTTCGTGAAGTTGGTGGGGTTACTAAAAGGATGTGTTGAACCCAGAGCATGAATTCCTAGAACAGGGCAGCAGAGCAAGGCCTTCGCATGCTGAGGGGCACAGCAGCCTGAGACTCTCCCCTCCGTGGGTGGCCACTGTCTCAGCATCTCCAGGAGTGTGTGACATGTCCCCAAAGAGCCGCCCCTGCCTCATGCATGCTGGTACATCCACGGAGGCACAGGAGCAGGGTGCTGAGGAGATGGAGCATGTGGGAAGGCCATGGGGGAAAGCGACCCGACCACAGGTGGTCTCAGCACAGCTGGCAGGCCTGAGGCAGCTCCGGCAACCATGGCCATCTAGGGGAGGCCCAAGTCTCTTCCTGATGTCCCAAGCACCAAGCCACAGCCCACAGCAGGCAGGCCCTAGCAGTGTGGCTCCAAGGCCACGGAAGAGGCAAAAGATGAGGGTGTGCAGGGGACAAGCGCTCTGGGGAGCAGTACTTGGGGGCCAGCCTGGGGACCAGGCCATTGTGAGTCTGGATGCCCAACATTTTGACAGTCACATTTGGTGATGTAGCAAAGCCACCAGCGCCCTCCTGCTCTGGGCAGAGCCAGCTGCACCCGGCCTGCAGAAGAGCTCAGCACAGATTCAGCTTAGCAGGCAGGGCTAGAAAGCCACTAGCCCATCCCACCAGGACCCCTGAACGGTATCTCTGCCCATGGGGGTGGGTGCCACACGTTTCACACCTTCCCGGGGGATTCGGACACAACCCAAATTTGAGAACCTTGGCTCTGATCCACCTGCCAAGAGTAAATAGTGGAGACAAAGGATGTTACCTGTGTACTAGTAAAGCTTATACACTCGGGAGGGGGAATCTTAAAAAACAAAAAGGACTGCTGGTTCACAAATACACAATTGGTAGCTGATGAGTTGCCACCCTCAGACCTCAGAAAGGGCGTCTGCCAGGGAAGGCCCTGAAGCTCGCCAGCATCACAGTGAATCCACCTCCGCCAACTTCAGCCCACCTCCCTCTGTTTCCTTCCTCACTACACATACCTCACCCCCCTCCCTTCTACATCTTTTCTTGCCACAAAGACAGGGCCCCTGTTATGGCCACAGAATATGGCAGACGTGTCGGTGCTAACTGAGGGGGCACGGGACAGCCCTGTGTGCCTGGGCTAACAACTCAGCGTCCTCCCTTCTAACCTCCCACATCCGTCAGTCCTGAAAAGATTCAAGAGGGAAATTTTCAAGAGAGGGAGAAATAACGTTTCCCAACTTCCAGGAACATAGAAGACATACCAGTAAACTATTAAGTTTCCTCATTTATCATAATTTTGTCTCCCTGATTTCCCCGGAAGGTGAGAGCAGCAACAAATACATCTTCATTTAGAAAATGAAATGTCAGAGTCCGCCTGGATCGTGCTAACAGACAAAATGCTTCCCGATCTGCCGCAGATTTTGTCTGGGCTGGTGATGTGATTAGAAGGTTTCTGCTCAATGACTCAGTCCAGTTGGAAATGAAATTTGGTTTAGAAGATGTGTCAACCTGAAAACGTAGTTTCAAAACTTTTTTCCACCACGTGTTTTCTTCCCGTACACTGCCAGCAGTTGTTCTGTCTTTCAGATATCATACCTGGGCTACCTACTGCTATTTAACTATGTCATCCTGGTGCGCATGGAACGCTGGCCCTGTCTCCAGGAATGGATCGTCATTGCCTACATTGTGAGCCTGGCGTTAGAGAAAATCCGAGAGGTGATTACTCCAAAGGCCTGTCCCAACCCACCAACCACTGACTTCAGTTCAGATAGACCTTCTTCTTATTTCTTATGCAAATTCCAAGTTCCATGTGGTGTCTTTCTTTTGCGGTCTCACAACTACCAGTTTATTCCATTCCTATGCTTAAGATTCATATGCCTTCTGCTTCCAGCTGAATTTGAACTGGAGACTGAAACCACAAGGCAAAATAAATGATGCCTACAAAGGCAACAGTAAATGTTCCAGGTAGCTGAGATAAACCAAATACTACAACTGAGTACAAATTGTGGCTCAGTTCTCTGGCAAATGAAATGAAAAACAGAAAGATAAAAGAGTGAACATTTTCCCTGCAACTCAGGACTCAGAATAGCACAGTCCTAGCTCAGGTTCCCTACACCCATGATGGGAATTCTTATGCGACTGATTCTTCAAAGGAGGGCTCTCAGGAGATTCCAGAGAGGGAGAGAAGGGGCCAAACCAGGAAAGAGAAAGGGCTGAGAAAGGTGTGCCTTCAGTGGAATTTGTCCCTGGCCTAATCCTGCAGGGAACTCTGAGGATATTGGACACTGTGGAGTCTGTACCACCTTGAACAAACATGGGAAAGGCAGCTTCAAGCCTAACAACAGCACCTGCAGCAAAGGTGGGGGCTGGGCACACCCCCCTGGCATAAGCTACCAAAGTACCTGGACAGGCCACTAGAGCATCTGCTACAGAGGGAGCAAGATTTTCCACTAAGTGTTGAAAAAGGACAGACACCATCTCATGCCTGACTCGTATCACAGAGGACTGAAAGTTAACATGTACCTCTGAGAGGACAATCTCTGCAGGTGGCAGAAGAAGCAGGGGCCAGATACTTCTCTTTCTAATAGCATCTGCAAATGTTTCTCAGCATCCCCAAGGTTTTAATACATTCTCTTAGCGTAGAAAGAGAAAACTTAGATCCAAGAGAAAATGAACCTGAACTGAAAAAGCGTACAGAAGGATTTCACATTCTCTCTGCAGCTGATCCAGAGCAGTAGTCTTACTGTGTTGTTACTCGTGACCCTTTCACTGAACTGAAAATATCCCTGGCAACTTCTTTGTGGTAGAATTTGATGCTTTCAGTCTAATGAGAACCTAAAATACCAAGAATACCAAATCCAAAATTTTATAACTCACCTTCTTCAACTACTACTCTTTCATTTCTAGTTGAGATCATTCAAACTCGGTAGATGTTGCAGCTGGGAGTTGGTTCTCCATACCATCTTTAGTGCCACTGTGATCTTACTGAGCATCAGCCATGTGCTAAAATACACCTTACTCCAGGAGCTCACCCTTCAGTGATAGGAAAGAGGGTGTCCTTCAGCCAGAGTGCATGAGGTGTTGAACTAGTGAATCCCTTCTGTGTTGTCTGATGAACAGCCACCGCCCCCTACCACCCTTGTGGTCCCCAGTGCCTACCCAAAGTCTCCGTAACTAAAGGGGTGCCACCTTGGGGCTTGCTCTGTGTGTTCTAGTGCATGCTCATAGTTAAAGAGTTCCCATTTTACTCTGAGGAAGTGGTGACTTGCAATCAGTGACAATTTTTCAAAGGGTAATATTGCAAGTAGGAGAAATCAAGTTTAACTTTCTTAGCTAAGCTGCAAAGGAATTTTGGCAAATAAACATCTCTTAGCCCAATTCTGCCATCTCCACAGGTGGCTTATCCTTCCGTGGGACTACACAGGTTCATCTTTGCTATAGAGTTTTCCTCCTGGACTAACTGTGCAGCAGGGGCTAACAGGCACGTGTCCAGAGAATTAGCAAAGAAATCCAGAGGCAGCTGCTTTAATTATAGCCAGAAGGACATAATTTAGAAGGCATTTCCTGAGAGTTTGTGAAACACTGAATGTAAGAATACAGAGGATTCCATGGAATTTCCCTTTCTAGAATATCTTTTTCTGCCTGTGAAGATTAGTGTTTAAAGGTCTTATGCAGGAAAGGGAACCAGATGCCCTGGAATGTCCCACCAGTCCCATGTTTCCAAGACCCTAAGAAAATGAGGCTTCCGACGCAGCACTCCCTATCTATGGCTCTTTGCATTGGTTTTCAGATCGTCATGTCAGAACCAGGCAAACTCAGCCAGAAAATAAAAGTCTGGCTTCAAGAATACTGGAACATCACAGATCTCATGGCCATTTCCACGTTCATGATTGGAGCCATCCTTCGCCTCCAGAAACAGCCGTACATGGGTTATGGCCGAGTGATCTACTGTGTGGATATCATCTTCTGGTACATCCGAGTCCTGGATATCTTTGGTGTCAACAAGTATCTGGGCCCCTATGTGATGATGATTGGAAAGATGGTTAGTACTGACACCCATGAGCAACTAGAGATGGCGGCCGAGGCTGTGGTTGGGACCTAAGAACAGGCTTCGGGCGTGGCTTCCTTAGATTTCATTTGGTCTTGCCTTTGCAGTTGGTTTCTTACAGGAAATATGTTTTGTTTTAAGATACATGGTTCTCCTACATGTTAATAACTTAACAAACTTGGGAAACATGAGTCGAGGGCCTACTATATATATATATGCATATATACGTACCTATATTGGCTATAACCTGATTGATAACCTCCTAACATGTAGTAGAAGCCAGAACAAATGGGGCCCAGGGTCATTCCCCTACCCATATTCCAGACAGTCTTCAGCTCATGTGCCCTGGCCTGGGGTGGACACAGGAACTTCATGTAATTAGGCCAAGACAAAGCCATGGCAGCATTTCCTCCAGAAGAAGTCACAGAATATGAAACTAAAGATGACCCAGCAGACTGTCCTTACCCCACCTAAAATATCTTCAACATTAGGACTGGTCCCAGAAGAAAGGAAGTTTAGGAATAACTCTTTCTAGGCAAGTGGCTTTGAATGTAGGGTATATGATCTAACTTATTCCAGCAAGGGCTCTCATCTTTGGGGAATGTTCAAAATCAGGAATGATACCAGCTCAGTAACCACCAGAGCAAGAGCATCGCTCATTGTGACAACTCAGTATTTGTATAATGAATGAACAACGTTGTGTACTCTCGGTTCACTATACTGTTACTTCCTTAGGTATTGCCTCCTCTTACTCCTTAGGTTCCCTTGCAGATCCCCAGATTTTCCCATAATTCTTCCCTTTCTCCATTCACAGCTTTATTTGCTAGAGGAATATTTGCTTATGGGCAACAGTAGAGGAGAAGGAAGGTGAAGCACAGGAGATAAGGGTAGCAGTGTTCTAGAATAACATGCATTGTCAGCACTAACACGCACACCAGCAGCCCACAGATGGGGCGGAGGGAGGGAAAGAAAGGGGCTTTCTTCATCCTAATTAGCACTCATGATGTCTTTGGGGAGAGCAAAATAATGAACTAGGCAAACCTGGCCCATGAAGTAAGATAGCAAGAGACATGTTTTTTCTCTATTCAGATGATTGACATGCTGTATTTTGTGGTCATCATGCTGGTTGTGCTGATGAGTTTTGGGGTGGCCCGTCAAGCCATTCTGCACCCAGATGAGGAGCCCTCATGGAAACTGGCCCGAAACATCTTCTATATGCCCTACTGGATGATCTACGGAGAAGTGTTTGCAGACCAGATCGACCGTAAGAATAGAATTCATAGTAAGATTCTCTCCCTGCTTCTGAGGCAGATGATCAGCTACAGATTAATGGAAGTGTGTTGTAATGGAAGCTCCTAACAAATGGAAACGTGTTCGTCTGGAAATGAAGTATTTTTTTATTCTGCCATAGGCAACAAATTATTTTCTGAAGAAATAAGGCAGATTATGAAGTGTAGACTTTTGAAACATCAGTCATTTCTTCTGCTCTAAAAACCATTAACTAAAATTCTGAAAGAGTCTCACATCCCTTTAGCTGGACCTGGTGAATATCCTAGCACATGATGTAGTCCCAATGCCAATAGCCTAATTTTTCTTCAGCTTAAAAAAATCTCTTTCCACCCCAAGGTAGAGCTAGTCGTGTTATTCTAATAGAATGAGAGAGTGAGCACCACAGTGTTTCTGGTGCCACGTGTCATCCTTTCCCTCAGGCCACCAAAGTCCAGTGTCCACGTAGCTTTCAACTTCCACTTCATTCCTGGTGCTGATTATTTTTATCGAGAATGTACTATGTTAGGGACTATGTTTATCAAATCTGTACACACAACATCAAGAGCGCTATTGTTTGTTTTTTTTTTACCAACAACAATCTAGATGTAAACAGAATAAATAAAGCCCAATCTTGCATGGATTTCTGGAGGATTGTAGACCCAGGTCCTCCCCAGGCTGAGCTGGTGGGTGAGAGCATCTCTTGTGTTGCAGAGAAAAGGGAAGCCCAAATGTTCTTACACCTATTTCACCCAGTTACTGCACCACCAGTGAAAGAGGCTCTTCAGTCCCATTTTCAAATCTGGACCAGTATTTTCATTTGCATGTTGTGCTGTCATAAAGCATCAGGCACAGGAACATGTCTGCATCTTGGTAACATAGGCCTTGACCATCCCCCACCGTAGGAAATGCAGGGACTGCCACTAGGTTAGACTGATAACTAGTTCACATAATGCTCTCCTCCAGTTTTTATAACATGATTGGGAACACATTATCATAGTCAATTACTGAATATGTTTGTAGCTTGGCAAACCAGAGCATTAACATCTAATTTGGTTTCCAAAGAATATTAACTTAGGTAAGCATGCATTTTTGCTCAAAGTCCCTGGATATGGACATAAATTGTAATATTTTTATTGTGCTGCTTTTTAAAAAAATTAGATTGGGTAATGAGGCAAACTTAAGGCTATTTTCAGTAACACAGTTAAATGTAGGTTTTTGACTCTGGATCTGATTATTCCATAATAGTTTTGCATTTATTTGTGCTTATGAGGTATTTGCATTGGGACACAGGAAATGCTCGATTGGTGAACCTATACATCACAATGATCATCTGCCAGTAGCCTCGTGTCTTTTCACAGTGTTTTTAACTAGTGAGTTTTTGCTATTGTTTATAACATATGGTAAAAAAGAACACTAGTGAAGTATATGTAGATCTTTATTTCTCAGGATTAATAATGTGTACAATTCTTCTAAATAGATCACTGTTACCAAGTGTGAATCTGTTAGCTCCAAGCTTGAATAGTTGGTTCTTCTGGAAGAAAAAAGTTCTAGTGTTGTTAATCATTTGTTTTACTTTTCTCTCAACTGTCATCTTCTTTTCTTTCCTTCCTTCCTGTCTCAACTGAAACAAATAAAATCCTGATTTCCAATCACTATATAGTCTACGCCATGGAAATTAATCGTAAGTTTACACAGAGTTGATGACTGTAGTCCATGAAATGTGTGTATTAATCTTTTCCTTGGCTAGTCTTATACTGGTTTCAAATCTCTTGTTTTCTGGTGTCAATACTTCTTTAAACAGTAAGTAAAAAGTAAGTAGACCATAAGTTCGTGGAAATTACTTCACTAATGACTGTTGGGATCATCCTATTTTTTTCTTCAAACATAGGCCCCATATGATCAAAGTGACATTTCAATGAGCAGAGAGAGAAAAGATAATTTTTCAATCAGGGCATCAGAACATTTGACTAATGGATTTGAGGGCAGAGGGAATCCTTACCTCTCAGCCCATAATGAAATTAATTTCCAAGTTAATATGAAACCAAGAAGACAACCTAAGCTAATATTAAATAATTAGGCACAATAACTTTCCAATGGATAACAGTAAAGAAAGAAACCATAAAGATATGTCTGCTTAAAAATTAGGAACCTCCATATATTAAAAACACAATAAAGAAATGGGAAATGTTTACAAATATGACAATTTAAGAATGATTATCTCTGAGTGCAGAAATGAGTTTCTCACCTTCTTTGTAGATGAGTTGATATTTTTTTCGCATGGACAATGACTGCTTATGAAATCAGGAAAAAAAAGCATATTCGGACAGAAAGAGGTCACTTAATGATATATGGAAGTTATTTATTCTTTTCATTCTGTGTAAAAAGCAAGCACAGAAACACAAACTTTTGTTTCAGCTCCTTGCGGTGACAACCAGTATGACGAGGAAGGCAAGCGGCTCCCTCCCTGCATCCCGGGCGCCTGGCTCACACCTGCCATCATGGCCTGCTACCTGCTGGTCGCCAACATCCTGCTGGTGAACCTGCTCATCGCGGTTTTCAAGTGTGTGTCGCAGCTGATGGCCGTGTGCTTATGACTTCACAGATTTTCAGTGTAATCTCAGAAATTGCCCATGATGCCAGGGATTGACACAGAATTTCACTAGGGCTTTTAAATGTGTAAAATTTTGTTCAAACTTAATCAGCACTGATGTGTGATGAGTCAAGAGTCAACAGTTAACTAATTTAAATTTAATCTTGGTTAGTAGTTTAACACTTAAGCACATATTTTAATCTAATGAAAATACTTTCTTAGATGAAAGTCTCCTGAGGTAGAGGAGATTGGATCACATTGTGTCTTGAATCCAGTGTCAGAGGTGCAGAAAGCAATGTTAATTTCATAAGCTGTGACAATTACTATAATATTACATAAAATTTTTATTATCATTTACAGAACAGAAGATAAAATGGTCTGGGAAAGAAATGGCTTAAATTATAAAATCAAGTTTCTTGTAAAACTTGCTTCTTTAGGCATGTGTTGACTGTCTTAATAAACGCTTAATAAATGTCGGAAGAAAGTATCTTAGCTTCTAAAATGAAAAATATGAGGGAAAAGTCCTTCACAGAAAGATGGAAACTTATTGCTGACCAGGACATTAGAGAGAATCCGGTTCAGACTCTTATTTGACTGAATTGAAAGTTGAAATACTTCAAAATGCTTAGTTGAATGGCTCAGAACTTTAAATATATGAAATAAAATTTCAGAAGCATGAGTCAGTAGACTGTAGTGTGGGTTTTCAGGAAAACAATAGGTAGCAATTTCAATACTCTTAATTCTTAATTATTTATACAAGTAAAATGTCCTTGAGTGTGGATAATCCACACTGGCAGGTAAACCAAAAGACAGGGTAATCTAGGAGTCAATACTGAACTTGCTCTGAAAGACCATTTCATTGCATATTTTTATTTCAGTGTAATGCTGATTGTTCTGGGAAATCACCATAAAAAGTAATATAATGAACTAAAAATGGATATTTTTTTTTAAAGCAATACCTTCTTTGAAGTAAAGTCAATATCCAATCAAGTGTGGAAATTCCAGCGGTACCAGTTGATCATGACATTTCATGACCGGCCAGTCCTACCGCCACCCATGATCATTTTAAGCCATATCTACATAATCATCATGCGTCTTCGCGGGCACTGTAGAAAGAAAAGAGAAGGGGACCAAGACGAAAAGGATCGTGGGCTGAGTATGTGCAGGGCTCCTTCGTTTCTATCTCGGGCTAATTTCAGAAGAGAGTTCTAACTGGACTCCTGGAAATCTCATTAAACTACCTCAGTGTGTGAAAACACAGCATTCTCGTCCGACTGGCTTTCTTTGCAAAAATGCTTCTCATTTTTAGTTGATTTCATTCTAGTTTTGTTAATTTACTAGTAATTAGTGCTCATGAAGAGATCAGACACTGAGTTCTTGAAAATAATTCTTCTATATCAATTCAGTGTCCCTTTTAATGTTTTAATGTTTCCATGATTTGTTGCATCTAAAGAGGATGAGAAAATAATGTGGTACCCTTGACTATCCATAAAACACAAGCAAAAGGTTTTCCAGAAAATGGTACTTGGTTTTGTTTTCCAAATAGCTGTAATTTTGTGTTTTTCATGTGTGTTAAAAAGTGAGCCATTTTGCTCCAGCAGAAAGATGATTGTTGCCTAGTACAGCCTGTCTTTGTGTCATAAACAATTGGAGCAGTCAGAGAGCTGCCTACATGTGACAACGAAGGGAGCTTAATTCAGGCTGGGGCAGTGAAATTCGCAATTGATTCTTTGAGGATCGCTTTCCCACGCGGTGAACGTGTCTCCCCCCACACAGAGCTGTTTCTCAGCGAGGAGGAGCTGAAGAGGCTGCACGAGTTCGAGGAGCAGTGCGTGCAGGAGCACTTCCGGGCGAAGGAGGACGAGCAGCAGTCGTCCAGCGATGAGCGCATCCGTGTCACCAGCGAGAGGTGCGCCCCGCGCGTCCGTCACCCAGGGCCCTGGGCCGGGGGTTGCGGGGCCCCCTACCCCACTCTGAGGCAGATGCCAAAGTCCATGTAAACATGCACTCTGAGTTCTCTTGTTTATTCAAACTTTGGGTCTTTACGTGTTTTCCCCAAAAACAGTGTGAAAGTTCAAGATGATGATGTATATATTGTACATGGAAGTGAATGATGACATTTTTTTCAAATACTCCAGGCCAAAACCAAACCACATCAAAACCAAAATAACCCCAAGCAGCTCTTGCCCACCCCTAAAGTGGGAACTTTACCACAATACCTCGTGTTACCCGGGAGTAAACAGTCAGCTGCAGGGTGTCTGTAACTGCCGGGGAAGCCCTTTCTCTCTGCTCTTGACACGGTGCTGCCCTTGCCGCGGGTGGTCTTCCGCTAGAGACTGTCTTCCTCGCCCTGCTTTATGCTCTCCTTGCTTTTTCTGAAGGCCTTTCCCAACCGCACAGAACAGAGGTAAGGGGTCGCTCCTCTATGCTCCCAGGAGACCAAGAATCACAGGAGGGGCAGAAGTGTCTGTCCCCACGAGGGCAGAAGCCTCTAACCGAGGCCAGGGCCTGTATTTCAGACACCTAATACCCTGGGTCCCAGCAAGAGCAGCAGCATCCATGCAGTAGTGCTTAATAAATGTAGAATGAATGAAAGCATGTGTGCATGATAAATGAGCAACCGAAGACAGGTCAGAGACAGGTGGAATTTTCCAGACTTCACGGCATTGCTCTTCCTGCAGCCGGGAAAGAGGAATCAGCAAAGAGTAGTAGATGGGAACAGTAAAACTTCACGGTCTATATTTTTTTAATCACGTAATTTTTAAGAACCTTTATCACTGAATAAAAGGAGTTGAAGCTTATTAAAGATTGTGATAATTGGTAAAACACTGCTCCCAAGAGTTTAAGCAGCAATGTGGAGAGAAGGATGAGCATGGAGAAGTGATGCTAAGCCTAAGGGGATTCTGGTGCATCATTCTATCCTTGAGTACTCAGAATTAACGTTTTTTGATACAGATTCAAATGTATATTGATAAGTATAAAAACATGGAAGGACTTCGAAAGAATACTTATTTCAGCAGACCATCCCCAACAAAAGGCCCCAACGATTAAATAACAGTATTCACGATACACCTTGAAGTCTCCCTGGTGATGTTCAAGCCACTGACGCCTCAGCCCACAAGAGAGGCCAGGCCCAGGCAGTTGCAGGTCTGAGCCATCTCCGCTCCTAGACCTGCTCACCTTGCAAACCAATCATCCAAGCTCAAAGGCTATTGGCACCGACTTTTGGCCTGAACAAGGAATATTTCTATAAAACTTTGAAACATCTCTTGGCTATTTTCATAGTAAGCACTAAAGTTTTCAAGATGTAAAAATTATTTCCTCATGAGAAAGATAAGCTACTCCCATCCTGATCATCTAAAATTTCCACTTTTTAATTAGACATTAACTTGAATTCAACCACAGCCAGTAATTTACAATGGAAATTGTGTTTTGTTTTACTCTACCTCTTCCCCCTTCTCCCTTCCCCGAGCATTGTTCAGATTTTTACCATTCTTGGACCAAGGCTCCCAAGAATGTGCTTATCAGGTCGCTCACCTAATTGCATTTTCCTCTTGGGGCTCTGCGCACACGTAATAGGAATGAAAGTGAGCCAGGCAATAAAAACATGCTACTTCCCGTTTCCCTTGGCTGAGTCCTCTGTGAGTGACGGGAGCACATTCCTGCCCCTCCGGTTTCTTGGTTGACCCTTTCTAGGCTGCATCATAACCGAAGGCCAGAGGCAAAAAGAGGAGGATGTTTGGGGAGAAGGTAGTTTTCCTTCACTTTTAACCAGGACAGCTGAGAAGCAAGGAAGAACAGTGAAGGATAGAAATAAAATTTCAGCTCTTTTTACCTAACTTTTGGTACCAGTAATTGCTTTTAAAATTAGTTTTTGACTACTTAGATGTTTCTGCCATTTCTTTAATCTTCTTTATATATTGGGTTGTTTTTATTTTCTGCATCACCATTTGATGCTCCCCCTGTTTTTCATTCAGCTGTTCATCACTGGCACCAGTCAGTCAGCAGGGTCTGGTTAGAGGTGAGTGTGAAAGGTACCCTTGGTGGCCTTCCTGGCTTCCCCATTCTCTGGGCATCTTTCAAAAGCTGGGCCAGTACTTGCATTACTCACTCTTAAAATGCGTATACACACCTGTCGTGCTCCTCCACATGGGATATTTTGAGGTCATAGGTGCAGAACCCAAGTTCGTGGCTTTCCCCTAAAGCTTGGGAAGTTATACATAAAACTGTCATAATTTAGCCATTTATAGTTATCATATAACTTCAACTTTTTATAAGATCCAACATTTAGTCCTTCAATAGGAAATTTACAATATGTTTCAGGTTTAGGTTAACCCAACACTGCAGGCAGGTATTTAACCAAAGCCCCATCCAATATGCCCACTTAGCTGTCTCAGGGCTCTTCCCTCGTGGTTTTCCTCCCAAACCTGGGCATCCTCTCCTGTGCTCTGGGCCCTGGGAGTGGCCCCATCAGCCATCTCATTTAGCAAGACAGACATTGGCAAATCATTTTGATGCCTTCCTCTTCTTCACTTGGAGTTATCAAGTTCTTTCTACTTGCTTTGTGAATAAATAGGGTCCACCCACCTCCTTCCTTCTCTACCACCAGCACGCTAGTACAACCTACTGCTATTTTCCAATGGGATTCCCACAGGTGTCCCAGATCTGAGCTCTCTGTATTTGCCACCGCTCTTTCAATCCATTTTGCACTCCACAGACTCTAGTCAGGGCCTGTGTCCCAGCCCATGCGCTCTCTGTAAAGGCCCCTCAGTGGCTCCCACTGCACACAGGCCCACAAAGCCCTGGACTATCCTCCCCTCATGCTCAGCACTCCAGTCTCCTGACCTTCCTTCCTTTCCTCAGAGGTACCACTTCCTTTCTGCCACAGGGCCTCTGCACATGCTGTTCCCTCTGCCTGTTAATCCTTTGGACCTCTGCTTAAATGCCAAGTCCTCATAGAAAACTTCTCTGACCACCTCACACCTGAGGCTAGGACCCATCTCCCCATAGCAGAAGCTAAATTTTTGAGCAAATGGGCATCTCCAAAGTGTGTCTCCTGGGTTGAATGCATATTTCTATCTTATTCTCAATGAGTTCCCTCCTGGAATATCAAATAGGATATCAACTATGTTCTGGGTTCAAAACTTTAGTTTTACTCTTAGGAACTAGAAACCATCTCAATATGCAAGTAATTCTTCTACCCAAACCTGTCAGGAACAATCATTAGTATCAGCAACCCCAGAACAAGCATTTGTGTTGGAAGGTGTGGTCTCTCTGCTTCAAGGGCTGATTGATATCAGTTAACCCAGAGGGCTGGCAGGAGGAGAACGTTTTATAATTCCTACCAGCACAACCAAGGTAGAACTCATCAGCCTAAATATTCTAATCTCATTGTATCAGGTTACTAACTGGTGACATGTATCCTTATCAATTGGAGTTTGAAGGGCATCTCTGTCTCTTGCCAATCCAATCTTCGGTGGTCTGGCATCTCTTATCTCCAGTTTACAAGTTCAAGAGCAATTGAGCTGGAAAGACTCTCCTTTAAAATTTTGTCAGAGATTCAACTTCCTTTTTTCAAACAATGAGAATTATGTAATCCAGTATGTTTTCCTTTTTTACATGGCTTCAAGGAAGCTCAGGACCAAACTTACTATTTAATTAGAACAAATATATTGTGGTAGGCTTTTAGAATACGTGGCATACATTTCCTCCTATTCAATATTTTCCATTCCATTCCATTCCATTCCATAAATTTTATTTTATACATCTGAATTTCAAAGCATGCAAGTTATGTCATAAATGATACATTTAAATGCAATTGGTCCAGTACTTACAGATCTATGGGTCTTAGAATAGCCAAACCTATACTATAGGTTTGGATTCCCCCAAAACCTTCAGGGTTAAGTGTTTTCTTCTCATATTTGTGGATGTAGAGTAAGGTGTTAGGTTTCCTCTAAGCTTGATTGGAAATCAGCAGTTGTCAACCTTGAAATCTTCCTATTTAGCATCCTCTTCCTAAATGACCAGGAAGAGAAGATGCTGGTAACACAGGCCTTAGCAAGATAAGGAGAGAAATGAGATAGTAATGAGAAGAGGACCTGAGAGAGAGAGAGATCAGACTTAGAAAGGAGGCTGGTGATTCCTCTGAAGCAGAGAAGGTCACAGACATGCAGTGATAGGGAGGTGTATTGGGAAGATAGCTTCTGAATGTCTTAATCTTATAAATCAATAGGAGCCAGAGTTTCTTGAATGATGGGGAAGAAGTTAGATGCTGGGATTTTAGTGTGCCTAATAAATGACCTGTTCCTTACCTGATTTTGAGGGCCAGTTCAGGACAGATATCAGGCAGATAGAGAAAAAATATCACTTTTATTAGTAATAAATGTGCTTGTGCTAAAGAGTGTGGTTCAGTGTTTGCCAAATACATGCCCCAGAACTGGATGTATCCACTCAGCCCCAGGCAGCACTAGCCACCCACAAGCTGATCTCATCGGCACTCAGCCTCGCACTAAGCTTACCGTGTGAACAAGACAAACTGGGAGCCCGCGCTCCATGTAGGCAGCCAGTTTCCAGAGAAAGAGTGAGAGAGAAAAGCATGCTCCAACCAGAAAAATCAATCCTCCTCAAGATCAAGAAACCAACCAAAAATTCAGTCCTCCTCAAGAAATAAGAAAAGGCTGGAGAAAGGCCAGGAATTTTGTACTAATGTGAAGTCCAGACATATAGGAAGAAACAATATAAGAATGGGGATAAAGTACCCCCAGCAACATTAGAGAATTGACGTAATAGGGAGGATTCAAGTGCACCTTTAGGGGTAATATGGTAGGAAAGGAATTAGCCAAGAGATTGCCCAGCAGGAGTAAGAAGGACCTGAAGGAAATTACATAACAATACTTTGCATTGGGCCCA